GGCCAGCCTCAAGTTTCGGCCTGTCACTGTCCACTGGCGGAGTCTGAGGCTTTGGCCTGTCACAGCTTCAGCCACTGGCGGGAGCCTGAAACTTTGGCCAGTATCTTGTGAATGCAGTGCGCGAAATTGCGTTGCAAGACCAGACGGCATCCCAGGCGCGGAAGGCAATGAAACTGCTCAGCTGTCCAATCCTGTGTTTGTTGGTCTGAGTCGCTTGCAAAACTGGCGGTTGAGGCATTCAACACTTTCTTCAGTGAGACTGGTGCTGGCAAGCATGTGCCCCGTTGTGTGATGGTGGACCTTGAGCCGACTGTCGTTGACGAAGTGCGCACCGGCACCTACCGTCAGCTCTTCCACCCTGAGCAGCTCATCTCTGGCAAGGAAGACGCGGCAAACAACTTTGCACCAATGCCAGGTTTAGTTTCACTTTTCAACTTCAGTTGTTTGATGCTTTGTCCTCGTTCCATCGAAGCTGTAGCAGACATGTTCGTCACCTCGTCACATTGAGGCACGCGGGCACTACACTATCGGCAAGGAGATTGTTGATTTGGTCTTAGACCGAGCCCCGTTTGGAGTTGGTAAGGTTTGCAATTTGATCAGCTTCATCTTGGGACGACTGGAACAACATGCATCATTTTTTCAGCCACGGCAGTGTTCCCTGGAATGTCTTTTCGAGTTGTGCAGCGCGCTCGTTTTGCAACTCAGGAATCCGCAAGTTGGCCGATAACTGCACTGGTTTGCAGGGTTTCTGCGTGTACAACGCCGTTGGCGGCGGCACGGGATCTGGCCTGGGCTGCCTCATGTTGGAGCGTTTGTCTGTGGACTACGGCAAGAAGAGCAAAATCTCCTTCACAGTCTGGTCTTGCCCACAGGTGGCAACCGCAGTTGTGGAGCCCTACAACACAGTACTTTGCGTTCATTCTTTGCTCGAGCACACGGACGTGACAATCATGTATGCTCTCGGGCAGCAACTAGCTTTCACAATGCGAGTTTCAATCGATCGCATGCCGTCACCCATCCTGCACTGGACCTGCCCGTTTGTTTCAGTGCTCTGCTTTCTTGAATGCATGAACATCACCGTAGTGCCAAAATTGATTGTGTGTGCGTGTATTGGGCGCGCTTATGTGTGTTTGTGTGTGTTTGCATGGCACAGTTTGGAGCAACAAGGACAATGAGGCGCTGTATGACATCTGTCGCAGGAACTTGGACATTGAGCGCCCGACATACACGAATCTGAACAGACTGATCGCTCAGATCATCAGTTCATTGACTGCGAGCTTGAGGTTCGATGGGGCTTTGAACGTTGATATCACGGAGTTCCAGACAAATCTTGTGCCTTATCCACGAATCCACTTCATGCTCACCTCCTTCGCTCCCGTGATCTCGGCAGAGAAGGCGTACCACGAACAGCTCTCCGTGGCCGAGATCACAATGTCCGTGTTTGAGCCTGCCTCCATGATGGTCACTCAGTTGTGCAATACCAGCCTTTCACAATGTTGTTTGCTCCTGGTTTGGTGCTAGCGTTTAGCCGGAGTCCAAAATGATTAAACTTTGTTTCCAGCATTTCCAGCCCATTTGGACAAGTGAGGTCAAGTGTGATCCGCGTCATGGCAAGTACATGGCTTGCTGCATGATGTGTCTTGGCAGTCAGGCATCGGTTTTCATTGATGTAGTATAGTGTTTTTAAATTGTCTCTGTCCTCAAGTGTGTGTGTGTGTGTGTGTGTTTAGCTTATTCCGGTCTGATTTCCTGTCCGTTCGCATCTTGCACATTTGTAGACATGTTTGGTGAAAGTAGCTTGCATGGTCATACGTGCACGCTGGTGTGCAGGCATATGACCGTTACATACACTCCCGCATCAGGTACCGTGGGGACGTTGTACCAAAGGATGTGAATGCAGCAGTTGCTACCATCAAGACCAAGCGGACCATCCAATTTGTGGACTGGTGCCCGACCGGCTTCAAGTGCGGCATCAACTACCAGCCTCCTACAGTGGTGCCCGGTGGTGATTTGGCCAAGGTCATGCGTGCCTGCTGTATGATCTCAAACAGCACGGCCATCGCCGAAGTCTTCTCCCGCATTGACCACAAGTTCGATCTGATGTACAGCAAGATCCTCGTCGCACATTTGGCCCTGATGTTTGCCAAAGCAGAGAATGCCAAACATGCAGGCATCACAAAGCTACCAACTAGTGCGTGCATGTTTCTGAAGATGAGCCTATGATCTTTGCGAACGTGACCTGCGACCTACGGTGTAGGCTAAAGCAAGGGAAGACCATTTATTTACTTCTTACGATTTAGACATGAGTTTGGTCTGATTGGCATTTATATGTTTCTTGTTTGCTTGTTTTACACCGGGTTTGCGATTCTTTTGCGCCTTTTTGCTTCTGGTATACCATCTTGGGGGGTTTTCGGAAGAGGAGTTTGCTGAGTCCCGGGAAGTCATTTTTGTTTCTCATTTTTTTCCGCATATATTTAGCAACCTTCGCACATGACAGGCATTGTGTGATTTATTTGCTGTTATTTACGATTTATTAACATGTTCTTCTGATTTCCGGCATCGTCTGCCTTCAGGTGGGAGACTTTTGCGTTTCTCCGAGGAGGGGGCTCCACGTGTTAGACAAAATCGTATTGACATTGTACATATGAATTAACAGAAAACTACTGAAACCAGAAACACAGTATCAGCAAGACGCCAGCGTAGGTCACAAACATAGCCGGCTATGCGGCAGTCATATGTTCACGGGATGGGCCATACACAATGTATCAGAACTCGAGAGGTGAGCCCGACATTGGCAAAACGCTTCATGGATTATCCAAAAAAAGTACCGCAATGGGGCTGGTGTTCGTGGTAGTCCCCTTTAAACATCACCTTCTGGAAACTTGAGTGACGTTGGCCAAAGGGCAACATTTCAAAGGGCTGCTGAACCATGAGGCAAAGTAGATGTAGCAGGGATTCCAGTCATCTTGTATGCCCTATCACCCTGCCTCACCACTCAGTGCATTCCGGGAACAGAGGAAGTCGCACGCACGTTCAGTCATAAGGGAGAATGTGAGGAGATTGGGGATATCCATCTTGGGAGAAAAGTCTTTGACTTCAACCGGTGCGATTTCTCACAAGCGCAGTGCTTTAGCCTTCTATTGTGTTTGTTTCTCCGGCTGTACGCCGCGAGTTCCAACGTGCACCAACTTCTTTGATCTTCATCCAGAAGGTCAGGGTTCCCTACACTTTACGTCTTACAACATCACCCCCACCAAGGGAAACTCACATTAATATTGCCCATAAAACAACTCGGGACCCCTGTAGCTTTTTGTACTTACGGGGGAGTTCAACGGACACCAGCCACAGGTTTTGAGACCCCCCCTAAAAAAAAGAAAAAAAACACAAAACACTTGTTTTTGCATTTTCGGTCCAACCTCCTTCCCCGCCCTCCAGGGCCGTTTAGCTTCACAGCATTCCTAAGGCGTGCCTTCGTCCACCACTATGTGGGTGAGGGCATGGAGGAGGGCGAGTTCTCCGAGGCGCGGGAGGATTTGGCGGCCCTGGAGAAGGCACCTCGGCGCATTTTCGCAACGCACTTTGTCAGATTCCGGACTTTCAGTCACTTCTGGGTTTCGGACCATTTTACCGAAGGCATGGGGACTTCAATCCCATTTTGACACCAAAGACATTGTTATTTTCCACAATAATGGCAGCAGGCGGCACTTTTTGGGCTACTAAGCTATGAGTGGCTCCTTGGGGGTAAGGTGTTTCTTCTCGCCCCTGCACACAGTAGGTGGGCAACCCTCAATCCTGCCCGTTTGGCAAACCACTCTTTTCCTAATCCATATCTTTCTTCAACACCCTTCTGGGAGAAGAACACACGGGCGTTTTGTTGGGGCAGGGTTTTGGCACCCATTTTGCTTCTCTTTGTTTTTGTTTTTTGGATCGGAGACAAACTCAAAGAACGGTACCAACTCAGAACACATAGTCTTTGCTTACCAACAAAACCGGCAGTTCCGCTTGGGCATGTAGGATGAATCTGCGATTGAGACTGGTGTAGTTTGCGTGTTTCCCTTTGACAGCCAACAAGGAAAGCTTGTCGTTGTTTTGAACGGCGACTGGGCAAGTAAGGATTACGAGGAGGTTGGCATCGAGACGGCCGAAGGGGAGGGAGAAGAGGAAGGCGCGGGTGGTGCATTAGCCCAGCTTTGGAATGGTCGATTGATAGGCCAAAGTTACACCGATTCGCATCTATTTTCCTTACAGATTGCAATGGTGAGTACCAGATGAAAAGGAAACCACGTTTTTGTGTTTATTGCTGGAGAGGAGTCACGTTCCAGTGAAATCTCCAAACCCAGTCATGCATAGCACCTTGTGCAATGTGAATCACATCAAAAATCTCTCTGCCAGCCAGCGCAGCATGTCAGGCTACGGCGATGAGTTCTAGGCCGACGCTGAGCCCTTGGCCAATTTTTGGAGTCCTGCCTCGTTGGCACACAGAGCGGCTAGCGTACGGCGGGATGAAAGTCCACTGTTGCTGGTCAATGCTGTCATTGTTAGATAGATGTTTGCTCCTGTTTGTAGACAATCGGAAATCTGAACGATGTTTTTGGCGCTGCCGAATACAGCAACCAGTGGCACAGGGATCTGTGTTGCTTTGCAGGGATCAATAATACTTGACCCCTGGTGGAAGCGTGGCAAGACATCTTGCGGTGACTGTGAACAAGCGCTGCTCGGGCTGAAGCTTTGACGGAGCTACAAGCCACTTGCTTGGGGTCCTGATGTAAAGTTGGTGAAGATTTGGGGTACTGCCAAACTGGCTTCCAACAGCGGAAGATGTGGCGTCACTTGTAACGGAAGGCCTGGGATGTTGTTCAAAATGCCCAAGGCTCGCTGCTCATATAAATGTTCCTTAAAATAGGAATTGTTCTGCCAACAGCTTCCTTTTGGCTTCCCTTGGTCCGAAACCCATTTGACCTGGAGTGGTTTAGAGGGCTCCCTGAGTTTCAGAAACATCCATGGGCGCGTCGTTGTTTTTCTGTTTTATTTTGGGGGTTCCGTACCCTTTTTGAGCTTTAAGGGAACCAAAGGGAAAAGATGGGGCCATTTCAATCGCCACGCCATTGCCGTTTTGCTTCCCACCCCGCCAAGGCTTTAGCCCCTGTTTTCCTTCCTGTTTGTTTGTTTGTTTGTTTGCTTGCTTGCTTGCTTTTTTGTGTGCCTCTTTCTGCATTTCTTCTTTTGTTCTTCCTTTCTCCCTTCTGCTCTTTCCTTTCTTCCTTTCTTTCATTCTTTCTTTCTTCCTTCCTTTCTTTCTTATCCTTATCTCACCTCTTGCTCCTTCCTTCTGCCGCCCAACTCCCGAACCCGCCCGCATCCACCCCCCAAACCCTCGCAGAAGCGCAGGCCTCCAGAAGCGGCTCTTCGGGGTGCCGAAGCTCGAGGACGCCAACCTCGCCGGCACCAAAGAGGCCGTCGCAAGCCCCGCGAGACGCGAACGGGGAGGGGGGGGTGGTTTGCTATTCCTGGTACCCAAATGACCATGGGGAAACTTTGAGTGGTTTCCCCAATGGTCATCCCATGTAAAAGGGCCCTTTGACGAACCTCCACGTGGCGACCAGAAATGGGAAAAGAACGCAAAAGGGGGGCTGGTTGACGATTCTCCTTCCCTTGTTGGGCTCCTTGCGAATCTCGCTCTGGCACCCCAGACGCTTGCCCCAGGGAAAGCACACATGTAAGCTGGAGAGACAGGCACCCCTCAGAGCTTGGTTCTTGGTTCAATTTTTGGGGTCTTGAAAGGGAAGCCTACAGAACACCGCCGATTTTGCGGGTGCCCATCTGAGACGCCGATTGGGGGTATCCTCCCAAAGTATGTTCTATTTAATTTTCAGACAACATGTTGGGGAAACCAAATCACCAATGCAAACCACTCATTTACAGGGTTTGGATGGGCCAGGATTGGTTTCCTTCAGCTTCCCTGTAACCCCCCAAGTTATCCGCCAAACATACACACAAACACGACATACATACATACATACATACATACATACATACATACATACATACATACATACATACATACATACATACATACATACATACATACATACATACATACATACATACATACATACATACATACATACATACATACATACATACATACATACATACATACATACATACATACATACATACATACATACATACATACATACATACATACATACATACATACATACATACATACATACATACATACATACATACATACATACATACATACATACATACATACATACATACATACATACATACATACATACATACATACATACATACATACATACATACATACATACATACATACATACATACATACATACATACATACATACATACATACATACATACATACATACATACATACATACATACATACATACATACATACATACATACATACATACATACATACATACATACATACATACATACATACATACATACATACATACATACATACATACATACATACATACATACATACATACATACATACATACATACATACATACATACATACATACATACATACATACATACATACATACATACATACATACATACATACATGACATACATACATACATACATACATACATACATACATACATACATACATACAGATACATACAGATACATACAGATACATACAGATACACACATACAGACACATACAGACACATACAGACACATACATACATACATACATACATACATACATACATACATACATACATACATACATACATACATACATACATACATACATACATACATACATACATACATAACATCCATCCATCCGTCCGTCCATCCATCCATCCATGCATGCATGCATGCATGCATGCATATATATATATATATAGTGTATGCGCTTTTGGGGGATCCTCCAAAGGCGACTCCAAACGCCCGGCGAGGGCCATAGCTGCACTCTGATCCTCACGGAGGGCGACTCCGCCAAGGCTGGGGGTCCGACGGCGGGGGCTGAGACCAAGGTCTTAAACTGGGCAGATGCGGTGGATGCCCTAAGTATTGCAAGTAAGGTAACAAGGAACCCCCCCTGACCTACCATCATGCTCCCATGGTTTTGTGGTTAGGTTGCATTGCTTGTAATATTTAGGGCACCGTATTGACTCTGGGTCCCGAAGTCACGCAAGCTTTCTTTGAGGAAGCGCCTGCGCTTGATGCTCCCGCAGCATGCAAAGAGTGTTGCCCTTCCTTTCCCGATGATTGAGCGCTCCGAGTGTCACCATGTCACTTCGATTGCCGGTCTATGGGAATCCCAACCGGACGTATTTTAGGAGCTTGTGCAATCTGAACCTGCCAGTGTCCTTTCAGGGCAGCTCGATTAAAACATAGTTGTAGTTTTGTTCTAATCTTCACACCTGCGGCATCTATTTGTCCAAAAGGACACCCAGGCCTGTCAACTTGACTTTGATCATGGCAAACGAGTGCTCTCAGCAAGGGATTCTCCTCGAGGCGTTTTCCATTTCTTTGATCCACCTGGGAATCCCAAGCGGGAAGGGCGTTTCTCTGGGAGTGAAGCTTGGCACAGCCAATTGCAGTCCGCCATTTTGCCCTTTGAGCCTCCTGGTCTCCCGCACGCTTCGGCATGCGCAGGCGCTGGCTGTGGCGGGGCTGTCGGTGGTGGGCCGCGACCGTTTCGGGGTTTTCCCGCTGCGTGGCAAGCTACGCAACGCCGGGGGCCGCGGCGTTGCGGTCGGACAGCGGCCGGGTTGCCGGGGTGGGGGGTGGTCTTCGGGGTGTAAGACGATATGGGTGGAGAAGATTTGAGTCCCAGTGATTTTGAACATGTCTAACCTGGCGTGAAATCTTAAGAGCGTTTAGTGAGCGTGTTGAGCATGCTGCGTGTTTGTGGAGTGGGAGTTGATTCGGGCTTTGGCCAAGGAGAGGCTTGTTACAGAACCCACTTGTCCTGCTCACTGGATGTCTTTCTTGCCCACGGGGCAACATAGGCATGCAAGTGCCCGGCATGTTGTACATGATTTGGCCGAATCAACTTAACTTATTGGCTATTTGACCGCCCCCATTTGAGCATACCTTCAGTCCCTTGGGACCCTCAACAGCGGCCCTCAAGGGCTGAAATGGGGAGTTTGAGCCTGGATGAGACGGCAGATGAGATGCGCTTGCCGCGCTGTGGAGATGAAGGCGGCCTTGGTGAGATGCCGGGGGTCGCGTTCCGAGGTCCGGGAGCTCTCGGTGAAGCAGATGCTGGAGAACAAGGAGATCGACCAGGCGAGTTGGAATCCAGATTCAAAAACCGATTTGGAGTAAATTATTCTGTTCAATTCGAATTCTAGAAAACCGCGGGAGGAACCTGATTTGAGTATTCAGTTTGCGTTGTTTTGTTTTTTTTGAAAGGACGATGGTCGAACACAATGGAGAATGAAACCTGGAAAGGGGGTGGTTCTGTCTGGGCATTTCATGACTGGTCTTTGGTGGACTTGCTCCTGAGTTCTTGTGGAAATTGGTAGATTTCTGCTGGAAGCTAAAATGTTTTGCTTTTTCATGGTTCATATCATGCCAATTTGGGGGGTCTATTTTGAAGAACACCTTCGCGGGGGGAATGTTGCTTTTCAAGGGCTTGACAAGCGACAGCCAAAAGTGTGCCTGGCACGGTCGGCAAGTTCGCTAGGGGGACATTTTGTGCCTGCCGGGTCCGCAAAGCGCCTGGCTCCAAGGAAACAGGATTTCCAATGAGTGTGTTCTGCCGTGTCTTTAAAGGTACCCTTGTTGAAGTTGGTTTAAGGGAAACCAACCGCAAATGTCCCACTTTCGGTTCCCCATGTCCTTTTTCAGGGGACCCCCCAAAAAAAAGACGAGAGGCAGTCTTTTCGTTTTTGAGAACCACCAAAAAAGGGGGTGTGCTCAAAAACGACATCCCCATTTAGAGGTGGCTGAGCAACCATGCCATCGTCAGCCCTCGACCAACTCCGGCAGGTCCTGAAGATCTTGGCCTTGGATGCCAACAAGGCGCCTCCAACAGCTGTTGGCCTTGGTTAACCTTGTTTAAACTTGGGAAGCAAATAATAAGCATGGAGCGGGATTACCTCCATGCATGGTCACAGCCAACCCATTGTTCGGCCAATTGTTGAACCGATACATGTCCAACCAGGTCAGCTCCCTAGTGTTCAACCAACCTCCTTTTAGTTTCCTTGAGGCCAAGGTCCGGTAATAAATTTGGCCAAATCAAGCCTCAAATTCCGCCTTACGCCCAATGATTTGTATCTTGGTACTTCCAAGAGCAACCCACGAAATGGGGTTTTCGTCACCCATCCCACTTTTTCCGGCCTAAGAGCGACCAAGAGAAGGTAGTCGTTTTCCGACTTGCTCGAGTAGGAGCAAAGAGAGGAGGGGTGAGTGATTCTTGCTGAGATTTGTCTACCATAAAACCGGTTTGGGCTGCTGGACATTGAGAAGTGTCACGATGTCTGCCATGGGACAGCGGCGGCCGGTGTTGGTGTTGTTTGATCGGCGGTTTAGACATTACATTGGGTCTACTTTAGATGAGTTTCCTCGTGTGATGTTTAAGTGGGAAATATAGGGACGGAAGCCGTTGCTTGTCGAAGCCATGTGGGGGGAGGGACATCAGAATGGCTTCATTCGGAGTCCTGGAGTTGATTGTTGCTTGCTTGGAGGGCAAAGTAATTATATACAATCATTTTTCTCCCACATTCTCCCCTGAAGTAATTTGGCTACGGGCCCTAGCAATGAGCCCAACAAAGGGTTTCCCCCAAAAGGACATTCCTTCAAACACCGGTTGCCAGCTCTCGGCTGGAACAAAGCGCCACGCCGAGCGGTGTGAGGAGTACCGTGATGCCAAGGGCCTGAGATACGGCCGGGGGTCCCGGTCTGTTCGCACCATGAAGTGCACAGCACGGTTTTGGAAGACTTCTGTTTTGGGGCTGTATCCGGATTCATTGGGTCGAAGCTGTGTTTGGAGTGGGGGAACCGATCTGCACTGCTCGGTTTGGGCGGCGCCCTTCAAAGGCAGCTCAGGGCCTCATGGCCAATTGATTTGAATATTCCAATCTCAGCTGAATGATCAATCGTTTGCGCCACGGTCAACTTGATCCTCAGCAGTGTCACCTGCGTCTGCTGCAACAGCATTGGCATCAGCAGCATGCATCAAGCGTGTCAACGGCCGCCAGCGTTAGCTGTTCAATCATGGAGCCCTAAACCCCGAACCGAACTTCACTGAGAATAGTGTCGAAGTGGCGCGCTCGCGCGCCGCATCACCAGCAACGCTGCAATGCTGTCGCTTTTCAAACCCTCTTTTCGCAGCCCCGCAGCTCCACAACTGAAACGACCGAGGACTCCCCTTTTGCGGGCAGTTGGCAACACAGGCCACGAAGTGGAAGAATGTTCTCGGGGGGGGAGGGTTGCAAGTGCGCTACAGCGCGCAAACCACGAAATGAAGGCAAGTTGCAGGGAAGGGGAAGACTGCGGCTACTGAGGGACGAGCTTGTCACCGTCAGCTTCCTCAGCATGCACTCTCCAGCAGGCCAGCAACGATTTCCAGCATGCATGCACAGCGCCAAAGTGCAGAATCAGACGTCGCCAGAGAACGTGATCAGCATCTCCATGGCAACGGCCACAAGAGTTCGCTGCTCAAACAAATCACAAAGGTGGAAGCACTTGCTGTCGTTCCCGACAATGTGCGAGAAGCAACGCGACGTGCATCAAAGAGCTGCACAAAAGTCCCCCGGCCAAGGCCTTAAACGACAGTCGATGGCAGAAGCAAAATTGCAGTGCCACCAGCTTCACCAGATATCACCAGCATCGTTCACTGGCATCACAAGCCAGCATCACTAGCATGACCAGCATCCCCTGTGTGTTTTCTATTTTTTGTTTCTCCTCTGTGTAGGTGTGTCATTAGCAGGGTTGCAATCTCATCCAAATGGGGTCCGTTGCCTTTGGGCTTCAAAATCAACAGTCATTCGGAAGCAAGGAATTTCACCGGCGTGCCACGTGAATCAATTGTTGCTTGCCTTGCAAAGCTTTTCTTGTTGAATGGCCTTTGAACTTTGAATCGTGCTCCGAGCACCGCAAATTCGGGAAAAACGGAGCACCCTTTTTGTTGGTAGCAAATGCCAAAAGGAAGATTCCTTTCAACCAGCAAAACAAATGACTGTTTGAAGGGATTCGAAGGTGTCCTGTCTTCCTCCTCAAAACAAAAGGAAACAAGGTTTACAGCTTTTTCAAAACAACGTCGAGGTTCCATCATGATCATGACGGACCAGGACCATGACGGCTCGCACATCAAGGCAGACGGCTCTCGCATCCTGCAGAGAACCCGCGGTTTCTTTTGAACACATTTTACACCAGGGTGGAAGTAGATGGCACAATTCCTTTCTGTCCGCAAGTAAATCGGATGCCTAAACCAAACTGCGGGACATGTGCCACCTGCTTTCACCCAACTGTAGACATGCAGGTCTGCTATTTGAATATTGACCAGAAGCAAACATACTATTTTGGGTTAGAGGGTGAAGCTGAGGTAGGAATGATGCTGGCTGAAAAGGAAAACAATCATGGTGGTTGGTCCAGGCAGGCTCCCCTGAAGGAACATTCCGGCCATTTCAGATATTGCCAACTCGCTAGCTAATGCCCTTCCCAAATGACATGACCATCCAGGTCCTTGTTGTGGATGGCACCCAGGTTGTCTCGAAGGGACTTTTGGTCGATTCCCAATCTTCCTCTGTTGCCAGGGCCTTATCATCAACTTTATCCAGCACTGGTTCCCCTCGCTCCTCAGGCGGGCACCAGTAGAAAGGGCGCCCAAATGGGGTGCGGGCAGCGGTGGCCGTCCGTGAAATTGTGCTATTGAGCTTGTGAGTGCAAGACATTCGAATCGTAATGCATATCTTGCTGCTGCGCAGTTGCAGAGCGCTTGCTGGATGCCCGTGATACCAATCGAATAGATTTTCTGCATAGCGTGGATATGATCGTTATTGAGCTGTGCAGCCCTTGCTATTCGGCGTCGCTGACAAAGGCGCCTCAGACAGCAATGGTCCGTCAGAGGGAATTTAGTGTTGCTGTAGATGGAAGTAGTGTGGTTGCCGGAAGTGTGCGGCGCGGAGCACAAAGCAAATACGGTTTATTCTGTAGATATCATCAATCACCTTGGTCACCTTGGTGCGTTGCAAAGTTTCTCCCTTTTCCTTGCAATGCTAGGAATCTGCCGTATCAAAAAGGATTTGTAGAGAACGAGGTATGAACGTTAGCTGCAAGCAGGGGTGTTAAGTGGCTGGTGGAGTACAGAACATGAGTGTGTTTGCTTTGGTCCCCCGTATTTGTTTGCCCTCCAGTTTTTGGGGTAACCCTGTTTTGAGGGACCATTTCTCAGCAATTACTGTGGGGTGTCGGTGTAAACACTTCGCGCTGCCCTCCTCAGCAAGGGCTATTTGAATTTTGAGGGCGCGGCTATGAATCTTAATGGGAAACCTCAAAAGTGGCTGTTGGACACAAAACCCCCCCCCACCTAAATCCACCAAAGGGTCCGGACCCATTAGATTCATTACATTCGAACAGTCATGCTTCCTCCGAGTGCAGATTGGTAAAGATTCCTGTTGCTTCCCTTTATTCCATCAGACACACTTCGCCAAGCCCCATGTCTTGGCACTGCGGCTGCTTAGCCGTTCGCCCAAACCGTCCGATGCCTCCCTTGAATTGTTGCAGGATGCCTGGCTTCTTGAAGGAGTTCGTGACGCCCATCGTGAAGGCACGATGTGTTTGGCTGGTTTGGCCGGCATGGTGGTTTTGATTTTGTGTTTGTGTCATGGTTGTTTTGTAGGTGTATTGTTCATGTGTCTTTGTTTTGTCGTGTCCTGTTTGCTTTGTTGTTCATTTGTTCATTGGTTTGTTTGTTTGTGGGTGGGTGGGCGGGTGGGTGGGTGCGTTGGTCATGGTCCAAAAACCTTGTCAACTGAGGTTTGTGGGAAGGGTCATCAGCCCATGATGGATTACCCCGCAGCAGGCGGAGTTTGGAAAGTGTCTGTTTCTTCGGATTTCATTAAAGACATACCCGCCCAAACAACTTCCTAGTTCTGACTCATCCCTGGACACTTCACCTGCCGGATTGATGCACTTTATGCCATTGCCTTTGACTCGACTTGCCTTGGTGCGATCAGGGGTGTGGGTATTTGGGGCCTCTAGTCTGTTGCAAGGAGATCGAGTCGCGCTTGAGCCCGTCGAAGTTGATCCCAAACCCAAAGGGTAGTTTGGTGAGGCACGCGGGACTCTTAAGCCACGCTGCCGCACGGAGCAACCCTGAAGCGACAGCGTGGCGGCTTTGGTCCCCTTGGGACTGTTGCAGGATCTGCTCATGTTGCATGCCAGATAGCCCAAGTCACCAGAGAGAGAGAGAGCGAGATAGAGCGAGAGCGAGAGAGAGAGAGAGTGTGTGTGTTTGTGTGCGTATGCGCGTTCACATGAAGGCCTTTTTTGGGTGGATTTTGAATGCACACCGAAAGGGACACTTCGTGTGGATGGGGTCTTTGGATTGCGAAACACCTCCAGCAGCTTGCCTGGGTGTTTCAGGCCGCCCCCACCTCGAATCACCGTTCCTACGAGGATTGCGCCCTGCAGGGGGCTTGTAGGATCGATCTGATATGATTTTGTGAAATCGCCAACCGCTGTCATTTTATGCGGGCATCGAGGAAGACACACGCACACAGGGTTCGCACACTAGTGCTACCACGTTCGTTCTTATAAATATCTATAGAACTGATCAAACTGGAAATCCTTTCCACACACATCCTCTTCGAGGTGTCCAAGGGCGACCAGAGCAAAACCTTTTTCACTCTGCCGGAGTACGAAGCCTGGAAGGAGGCCGGGAAGCATCGCGCGTAGCTGCGCCAGACCTTTTCGGGGCCGTGCCTTTTTCTTGTGGGTACCTTTCTTGGGGGAAAAGGGGGGGGGGAAAGGATGATTCTGATTCCTGTTTGTAGAGAATAAGCAGTTCCCCTGCAATTTTCCCTGGCTGGCGGCTTCCTTGCAGCTCATGCGCCTTACAGGGGTCAGTATATCAGGTATTGCCCTGAGTTGGGCGTTTGGATTGGTGGGGACTCGCGATTCAACCCCCTGGCTTTTATAGAGACATTGTAGAGAGTACATGGGAAGCCATCAATCCTAACCTTCCAACGACCAATGTAAGTCTCGTGCAGAGAGGCTGAAGTGAAGAACTCGCTCTTTCTCCGTTGAACGCAGGACTCAACAAGTTTGAGCGCCGGCCTAAACCCGGCGAAGCCAAAGCTGCATATGCTAACTTGGCTGCACATGTGTGCACTTTGTGATTTGAGGCTACACCGGAGAAGCAACTCTACATCTTCGCAATTAAGAGGCAAACGCTTCTGCGGTATCTCAAAGCACCAATTGCAGGGAAGCTGAATTTGAGCATCACCCTTCTTTGAGTATGTCTACAACTGGAGCCATGTCTGGGCCTGCAGTCATCCCGGAACTCCCACGTGCGTGTGTGACAAGGTTCGAGTGCACGGGGTTAGACTCCAAGCTCAAGTCAACACAACACACGAAGGAGATGGTTTTGTAGTTTGTTGTTCTCTCGTGGCATTCGATTGAGCGACTATTGGTACAGCGGGACCCGAATCCCCTTAGTTTCTCCCACAAAAGTGGAGGCTACTAGTAACTGTGGATAAATCACATGAGCCACAGTCAATATATTCATCGTGCCCCTGGCTGACATGGGTTTGTCGTGCGTAACCACCTGTTCCTGGCGTATTGCGGTGCACCCCACGTGCTTCCATTGCGGCAGTATATTGACCGTTGCTCATATCCTCCGTTTCTCACGGGTTTGCACCTTGCCGCAGGCCAACAACAACGGTCAGGGATGGAAGGTCAAGTACTACAAAGGCGCCTGTGGTGTGTTTTCCCGTGGATCTCCCTTCTGATGGTTCTGTTGTTTGTTTGTTTGTTTGTTTGTTTGTTTGTTTGTTTGTTTGTTTGTTTGTTTGTTTGTTTTGTTTGTTTGTTTTGTTTGTTTGTTTGTTTGTTTGTTTGTTTGTTTTTTGTTTGTTTGTTGTTTGTTTATTGCTTTGTTTTGTAGAGAGTTTTTGAAGAAGCCCACTGGAACTCCAATGAGCTCTTTTCCGCCCTCGAGGCAAGCATATGGTTTTTCTCTTTCAGGCTGAAGCGATGTTTGACCTCAGCCTCGGCAATGACCTTGTATCAACTTACCCAGTTGTTCCAAAAAGCCCGTGCGGTCCCCCGGCAAAAAGTATGATTTAGAGCCATCGCAAGGGAATACACGAATTGGGAGGGGATGAGCCTGAAGTTACCACATTGGTTCAATCTGCCCCACCCACTCTCCGCCTCAAGTTAAGGAGAGATTGTGAAAGGGGATGCACGATTCAAGCCCGTACATATTGCAACTGAGAACGAGCAAAACCCTCATGCCACTCCTGTGGATAGTTTGACTAGGCAAGATTTTAGTAAGTATCATCAGTGCCAAGTCGCCGCGCTCGCTTCCAACATGATTGCCTTGCGCTCAGTCTTGCGTTTGCCTGAAGCAACACGGGCGATTGTGGCTGCTCTCTGATTGCCCTTCCAAGCTTTAGATGCAAGTTGTTTCTTTCCAGCTGGGTATACTTTTTGGCAACCGACGCCGTTGCACATTCACATGAAAGTTGGTGAAACTTGTCTGCTTCTGCAGAGAGCTTGTCTAGCCCACGCGTTGCGCCTGCTCAACATCTGAGCCTGTGTTTGACCCTTTCATCTCAAGCATCTTATGAGCTGTTGTCCCGACCCGCTCGCAAGAGCCCGGTGCAACGGGAGAGGATTCAAAACCCCACTGGTAGATTTGGATCGGAGGGTGTCATACCCCATTCAAAGGGCGGAGAGATCTGTTGGATGGCCACAGGAGGGTTAGTCAAAATTTCCGATCCAGGGTGCGTTTGAAGGAAATGGACATGGGGGAACTCACACAACTTCCCACAAGAACCAGGGGACTCACTAGTTTTCCAATGTGCCTTTGGGGAACACGTAATTTGGACCTTGCCTCACATCTCGACACTCCGCCATGCCGGTGCCTTTGCAGGTTTGGGAACAAGCACCAGCGCAGAAGCCAGGGAGTGACCCAACAAATTACCCGCGTTTTGTTGCCCGGCCCAAATCTAGCCCTTGCATGAAGTCCTGATTTCCTGCTTCAGACATTTGTGCCGGGGCTGTTGCACCAAACAGGAGTTCTTCCAAGTGGGACCGTTTCAAAAGGCGAGCACGGGTGTCAGCTGAAGCCAGCTGCGCATGTAGCTCTCAGGGTTTTGGAGTGCATCACAGGGAGCTTAACACTGTGAATTTGAGGCAGAGCGCATATGGTGGGTGTGTCTTTTTTTGGGACTCAAGGGAAGCCAGGGGAAAACAGCCATTTTGGGGTTCCCTCATTTGAGAGCCCATCTGTCAAAGCTGCAGATGGATTTGATTCGTGGTTTGGGGAGAAACCCATGGTTCTGGTAGAGGGTAAACGCGCCAATCCAAAGCTCGAGGGAAGCGGAAGGTGCAAAAGGGTTCTTTGCCGCCAGGTTGATAGCTGAGTTATTCCTGGGTCAATGATAGGCATTCTGGGGCCGATAGTGGCCCCAGAGCCGCTGAGTTTTGTCCAGGAGTCTGTTAACTATGAAACTGGAAGGATTTCTGACAGATTCGCAATACCCTGCACTAAAGTATTGACTGAGTTCCCCCTCCCCCCAGCCCTGTGGCTTTCCAAACCACTAGGGAGAACCACTAGGTTGACCAGGTTTTACAATTACGATACATGCGGGTATCTTTTTCCGAGGGTTCCCTTTTGGGGCTGGTTTCAAGTGAAACCAACAGCAACCCCACTATTTTTGAATACCCCTACTTTGCCACATACCCATAGCCAGTATACAATGCTTGTACACACCATTTTCCCCTTCCTGACTTTCGTCCAGGTACTTTGCAGACATCGATGACCACGAGATCCGCTTCACCTATTCAGGCAGGGTGGGAGGCTTGGAGCCGGCGCGGATTTGGGAACCCGGAAGATTCAGGATTTGGAGGGATTTGGGACATGGTGCTGGAAATTCGGGGGGTTTGGGTTCGCCACTTTTCTGTTGACGAAATCCCTTTGAAGCGATTGTCTGTTCATGGGCATTCCCACAAATGGCAAACTCTCAAAATGTGCACAAAACGGGTTCCAATTCTATTTTTACCACCTTTTCTCTTTTCTGTTCCCTAGAGAAGGATCAACCCCAAACGAGTTGGTGCCCTACGTTTCGGGCCGCCTCGGCCAGGAAACCGGGATGACGACCTCATCGACATGGCCTTCGCAGCAAAGCGGCGGGTGGCCCTAGCGAACCAGATCGGACGGACGCTTTGCAGAGCCTGTAAAGTGGCAAGGCATTTTGAGAACTTCTCGAAATTTCAGTTGGGCTGGTTTCCCTTCAAATGGTTTAGACATTTTGTGGGGTTCGTGAAAATGGCCTTGTGGGGTACTCTTTGGGCTGTCACGTTAGTGTACCCAGGAACACTTGCTTCTAGTTGCAACTGCCAAGGATCAAGAGCGAGAGCCGTCGGAAAGGTACCGTCGAGCTTGCATGGACTAGGAAGTACCCCGCATTGATGCGTTGAACACTAGGAGGTATCAACAGATTGATGCGAGCTTCCAACTACTGGGAGACTCCCCTTGATGGTGTTCAGCAGGAAACCCAGGATCTTGAAGGGTCGCAATTTTCAACTTTTGACTCCTTTGCAATGGATTTCCAATAGAGATTGTGGATGCTGTCAGATGGATGGCACATAGCCAGTGTCGGCACATCCGGTTGCTTGGCTCTTCTTTCGGGTGGGTGGCGTGGCGGGGTTAAGACGCACTTGGGGTCTACTTTTTGCCACCACCTCTATTCAGGGAACAGTATGATCTGTTGGGGTTGGCAACTTCGACGCGCGTCCATGGCACCCCTCCACCTCATCAAACCGAAGGTCCGATGAGCGCAAGACCTGGATCTCTCAGGTGGAGGACAACGGAAATCAGGGGTCTTGGGGCCCAGAATTTTTGGTGCAAAGGAGCCTGCCGAGAAAGCGAGGGAACTTTACGAACCAAGAAAAATTGGAAAGGCTCAAATTGGCATTTTCTGTCGCCCTCTCAGCAGACCCAAAGCTGTTCGGCAAAAGAGAGGGAGTCTGGATCGAAGCTACTCATTTGCTCTGCTTCTGGTCAGCGGAGCAAGTCTGAAGGCCTCTCATAGCAGCATAAGCAGTAGGCGGAGGGTGGGGCCAGTGTCGGTTTGGTAACTCGTGGATGGAACGCTCCGTTCTTTTGTAGTCTGCTGAAGGGGGGGGGTGCAGCACTTGGCGAGTTTGACAGGTTAGTGTTTCCGTGAAGCCGGTGGCAAATTAGACACGTCGGCTTTAGCACCCGAAAGGCAGAAGGCCCAGGCGAGAGATGCCAATGCTGGTCCAACACCTTGCCGTTCTATTCAACTGACCAGAAGGGGTCACGGCGTGTATGGACAAGTTCTTCCAAGTCGGTGAGAGGCAGGTGACACTTCTTGACTCTGCCGGCATATGTCCCTTGAGTCCTTTGGATAAGTTTCACCCGCCACTTCTCTAACACTCATGACTCATCACTCATCACTTATCAACCACCTTGTCAATTGCTCTTGGACCGCTAGTTGTCCAGTTACTTGTCAATGACTTCCTACCCACCTATCAACCACTTGTGTTCCTGTCGCATTGTTGAAGGCAAAGGTGCAGGGTTGTGGCAACGCTTGTTCCAATCAGTGCTTCCAACACCTGTTTCACACTTATCAACCATGAGCCAAGTGTCAACCACAGACACCAACAAAACGCTTCGCCTTTTGCAGGACGGCACTTTCGTGGACCACTCCCAGCCCACCCTCAGCTACACGGACTTCATTGAGAAGGCCAATTTTGCGTGAGCCGAAAGTTGGGTGTGACAGAAATATGGGTCCAACGATCTGGGCACAAAACGCGACCTCCAAGGGATGGGATTACGACCATGACTTCCGGTTCCTGACTTTCCCTTGGTGAAACGCTATGATTCATCCAGCAACATGGGCGGCCCCTGCAAGTGGTGAACGTATCTTCAGTCATATCCCTCACCACCTTAGCCACGCCTCCAACCACGTCCTACTGCAGTCGTTTTCAAACGGTATGTATTTGGGAGGGGGCAGGTGATTGGGTGGTGATGGTCAGGTTTTCCTGAGAACCAGACTTACCCAAGGACGCCCAAGAACAGAATCATTCAATTTGTTTTAATTGTGCTTTCTGGAGGGAACATTCATGGAATTTAAGGCATACTTGAAGCAGACCCTTTTTTGATGCTAACCCATTTTGCAGAAGCAGGAGGCATCAGGCTCTGAGATTGTCTACGCCTGCCCTGAATACGTTTTAAGTAACTCAATTTAAACCAACCTCACATTCATCAGGCACACCGCGGTAAATGATTGTAAATGAGGTAAGGGCTTCCGTTGTTCCCCAGGCGGTGTTTATGGCAACACACCAAAGCTGAATCCGATCAAAAGGGCATTTGCTTCCTAGGACACTTGATGGGTGCACACTAGAAGAGGACATACCCCTGTAAATTAGCCGTTGTCATCCAGATACCGAGTCTTGCTTTTGTTTTCCCTTCGTTGGCAACTGTAAGTCTCAAGGAAGACGGAAGTGGCTGGCTTTTTCCCGACGTTTGCAGCTGCAGTTGTCCAGCTGCAGGTTTTCCTCAAAGTTGGCGGCGACTTTCGCTTCCACTTTCCAACCACATCCTCCCCGACTGTTCGACAATTTTAGAGTTTAGAGGGGTTTGTGACATATCTGACTAAAAAAAAAAAATCGCAACGGCTATTGACGAACCGCTAGTTTTTGTCAACACAAAAATAAACTGAATGTGGCCCAAAGAAAGCTGCGGTCAGGAGCTGTCGCTCTTCGCCAAGTATGATGTGGAGCGCGCCGTGCCGGGAGGCCCAGGTGTGGAGGTGGCTTTGAACTTCGTACGAAGTTCCGTCGATAGTGGTTGATAGACATAACCTTGTTTGCCTTTACGGCGGAGCTCACCAATTGGGGGGTGGAGCGAGCGAACGCCATGATATAGGTCCTTTCCCTGATCCCGTATTTCAGGTCTTGGAATTGTTAAGTCTGCAGACAAATCCCCAGGCAAATGGGGTCAAGGGTCCGTTGTTAAAAGTTTTCCTTGTTCGTGAAGAGTTCCATTACGGTCGGTTTGGGCATCGGATTTTTGTTAGGTTCCAAGTTCCAAGTGCCATTTTGTTGCTGACACACAATGGCGGTACATGCTTTTTGGGGGGTGCCTGTGGTTTTAATGGCCCGCCCTATACCGAAAGGAATCTGCCGTTTTTCTGGATCCCCTTGTTTTGACACCCAAATGTCTAGGTCCCAGGTGCTCGGCTGAGGCCCAGCATGGTGGACGGGCTGAAGCCTGGACAGCGCAAGGCGTCGCCCTTGGTCGAAGGAGGGTGGCATCAGGTCAATTCCCCAGTTTAAGCATTAGCATGCGTAGCTTACGGCATTTTGCAGCTGGACAGGGGTTCATGCCCTGGAAAAATCTCTGCAACACTTGGGACTGTTCTCATGCAGCATGAGTTTGGATTAGCCCGTACCATATCCGGGTCCCAAGATTGTGTTCCTCGAGAAATGGTCACCAGGTCTGGATCTGTCAGATCTGTAGCCCAGGTTGTGAGGCATATCATCTGCTCAAATTGTCGTTGAGGCTGTGGGCCCATTTTTGTAACACCCATTTTCCAGTGAACCTTCCAAGCACCCAAATGAGGCCAGATTTTCTGGCTTGGTGCGGGCGTCGACCGAGTCTCCGAGGTACAGTTGTCGCATTTCGACCAAGCGATTGGCGTGTTTCCTTGGGTGAGACACCTCCCCGCGCATTGGCGCACTGGTGCTTCCCGTGCAAACCACCGGAACCTGTTGTTCCGCCAACCAGGTACTTCAAAGCAAAATCACGAGCCTCTGTTTTGGATGCTTCCAAACAAAGACGCCGGAAGGACACCGCCCATCATTTCACCGATACGCAGTTGTTCAATGGCACCCCTCTAAATCCGTTTCTGTTTGGTGGGTTTCCCAGCAAAAATGGAAAATCACCTTGTCTACCACGACACCATGAAAGGATCGTCTGTCAATTAAAAAAGACAACCAATCCACCTAGTTTTCTGTCCCTTCGGGTCATCGTTTGAAACCGTTTGTTTGGCTTCCCCGTTCCCCCCCCCCCCCACAGCTCGGGTCACCAATTGCTGTCATCCGTCGATTGCCATGGGTTCCTTTTGGATGTGCGACGAGGTCCTCTTCGGTTGCTTCAAGAAGAAGCTCAGCTCCGAGATCAAGGTGGCGCAGCTCTCAGGCGCTCCTTTTCCTCTTAAGGGCTGCGGCTTGGTTTGGGAGGGGCAGGTTGGGGTGATGGAAACCGAACACGGGCGGGGGGGGGGTTGAACTTCCAACAAACCAGGCAAACCAACAAATTGCAAGGAGCGGGTGGGATTTGTTTTACGAAACTGAGGTGACCGAACCAAGTGGAAGCCCCCTCGCGCAAAAACTGCAATGTGGCCGAGACAAGGCCACAACGGGGCATGACAACCCAAGGAAGATGCAGCGTGTGGGGATTCCTTTCGGTTGGTTTAGATGGGAAGCCAAAGACAAAACAGAGCATCGTACTTGTACTTCCCCTTTGGTTACAGGGAAGTATAGGGAACCCTGCAAGCAAGCATTGGGGGGTTGCCCGTCAGTGTCCTGTTTGGACAACTTGAGCAATTTGTGTAAAATGAAAGCTGCTTGACCAGTGGAGTTGAGCTATTTTCAACAAGATTCAAGTTCAGATTGAATGTGTGTGTCCCTTCGTTGGTGAGATAGCTGCCGATGCAATTCTATTCTAGAGTTTTTGTCCACAACATCTTCGCGTTATCACTTTTACCAAGAGTCAAAGCATTTGACGTCTATGTTATTCCTGCTTGTGAGCAGGGCTTCAAATTCTTGTTCTGAGCCGCGTCTCTTGGCAGGGGCAAGGTTGGCTAGGACCTGACATGTCGGGCTGTCAAGGGCACCTGTTGATAAGAAATGCAACATGCTTTGAGCAGGGCTTCCCTTTAGACTTGGAGGCAATCCGACACGTCGTTTCCCTTCAGGGATCGAGCTTCTTACCTGCCAGGTTTTGGAGCAACCCTTCGAACAGAGCAGTCAGACCGATCTCGAGAGACACCCCTTGGCAGGGTACGTAGCCGAGAACAGCGCCTATCATCATGGGGAGGCGTCCCTGCAGGCACGCCCATGGCTTGCACCATTGCTACTACCCCGACCCGAAGCTGGGTCCCATGGGTTGAATGTGATATACAACCTCCACATTCCCTGAGGCAGTGGTTTAGGGGTAGTCGAACAGTATATTGCGTGGATGTAATATTGCCTCCCTCATTCAGAACGAATTCGAGGGGCTTCTCAAACTTCTGGTTGATCCAACGCCAGTGTATACGGGAATGTATTTCCCCATTGGTTCCATCGGCGACTCAAAGTTGGAGAGGGCGCTGTCCAAAGTCGGTTGCTTGCTTGCGAACCGGTTCAGCGAATTCCTGTACCAAAGAATATGAGGTCAGGCCGTGAGGCCGTTCATGACCGCGCATTGCCTGCGGCAGGGGTAGCATCTTCAGCTTTGGTTGACACTCAGCAGCCCAGTATATTTAATTCTGAGCAATGGACAACGTTTGCTGAGGAGATGGGGGAGACTATCAAGTTCCTCGATTGGGGACTACCCAATTGCATCGTTGTTGAGACACCTTGCTGTTTGCTCCCAGTACTGTCACCCAAGGAATCAAACCAACAGCTTTGCAGGAAATGCGAGAACCCACTATACACCGGTGTCCAATTCTTGCAGCTGGAGTTTTAAGGACCTCTGCAAGTCCCTATCTCAACTCGAGGGGCTTAGTGGCTGGTTTTTGAGGATGAGCAGCAGCGGTTGTCTATTTTAGGACAGACTAACGGTTTCCATGCACCAGCCAGCTTAGATGACAAGTCAGGCCGTTCACGCACCCTTCTAGAGTTTTCCTCGTGCTAAAATAGTTTGGTGCAGTTCGTAGGGTTGCTCCCAGCATTTGATTGAAACCTGAGAGCTCTACGTGCTAGGCATGGCCTGAAGAGATGTACCCTCTCCCAGGAGTTGTACGAGAAATTGCAGGCTTTCCTCTCGCTTGCAACCGCTGGCCCGAATTGAGGCCCTTGCGGTCTTCGCACAACGGATAAGCTCCGCAATTGTAGTTGAGTTGAATTCTATTTGTGGTGGGGAGGGGTGTTATCCGTGGAAGCCACCCACAGTCTCCACACGTCCTCCGGCTTCGACCCACCATCTCGGTCCAGGAAAGCGACATCCTCCAAGTTGCCCTCAGCTTCCTTTATGTGGGCAAAGGGGGTGACTAAACCAAGCAGGTTGGAATGGTTCCATTCACGTTCACCCCATTTACTGTAAGGGGCCCGCCATGCCCCCCAAAGTACTTGCGTAACCGTTCTATTTTGCGGCCCCAACGCAACTTTGTATCCCCAAAAGGTAACCACTCAAAATGCGGGCCAACTTTAAACTGGGGTCTCCTCCAAGCATGTAGTTGTGTTAAAGGGTAGACTAGATATGGAGCAGACTCAGACAATTTCCTTATTCTAGGCAAATTATAGCGACGTCACTAGGGGGTTTGCGACCTGACCCCTGATGAAGGTTTCTCGTTCATAGGGAACTATCATGATTTGCTCCGATGTTGGGAGTAAGGGTCCTGGATGTGGGCCCAGTGGGACGTCAGGGCACCATCATCGGCATGGCCCAGACCTTCGTGGGCAGCAACAACGCCGCACTGCCTCAGTTTGGATTAGAGCTGCTGATTTCGAGAGCGCATCGGCTCGAATCGGAAGTGGACAGTGGTTAGAGGAGGTCTTAAAAAACGAACGGGTTCCCACTTGCAGGGACAAACATCTGTGTAGACAGGAACTTATTTATGAGAAGCCCTATACAAACACCCAAGGTGGCCTTGGACAGACGACGCTTCAGTTTCCAAACGGTTAGGTGAGCGTAGTTTGCTGCAGAAATAGTGATGATCAGTTTTGAAAGGTCAGATTGAAGGGTAGACTCCCTGAACGCAAGAAACATTGACCATTGTTATACCTGTTCATGTTCCAAGTTAGCAAGCAAGCAAGCAAGCAAGCAAGCAGGCAGGCAGGCAGGCAGGCAGGCAGGCAGGCATGGTGTTGGAGGTGACGTACGGGTCCTCAACAGCAAGGAGGAGCCGGTGATGGTGATTCTGCCACCTGGGACGGCGGCCTTCGCGGATGCCGAAGAGCAGCTCATAGAGGAGCTGCGGCGCATGGCCTTGACGCTGAGAGGTTTGTCAGAACAAGTGTGGAGGGATCAAGAAGCAGGATCCCGGTGCAGACAGGAAAGTCGGACGCCCTGGGAACCTTCATCAAGCCAGAGGCATGTTCGGCCACAGGGGTTGCTGGACAGGAGCACTTTGGAGAGTATGCAATTGCTGGAGCAGTGCTGCAATACTCCACTTTGCTTGCACTGGGCCACTGTTTCCCTGGGGTTGTCGACATGGCACTTAGGAAACCGCTGCTTTTAATATATGGGAGAAACAGCTGCAAAGTTTCAGTCTCGTCGTACCTTCCCCATTCTCTTCAAGGACCCTTTTGTCTTCGAGAATGGGCCAACCCCCCTGGGGCATTAGGCGGTTTCTAAAAAAACGGTGGGTAATGGGAATGGTGAACTAAGCGTTACTGTCATCACACCATCAACAAAGACCATGGCCAACTCGAAGCAACTTGGGTTCTTGCCTGGGCTTTTTCCATTAGACTGATAAAGGAATCTAGGTAGCCGATTTTTAAGCAGGTTCCTTTGTTTCAAGTTTCAACCACTCATGTTAACCCTAACAGGCTGACCAAGAATCCCACACAAATGGCAATGGGAATCCATGGGGCAACTAGGAAGAGGATCTCCACTATTTGACAGCCATGGGTCTGCAGTATTGAGCAACCTACAGCGAGCTTGGGGGAATTTCGAGCACATGATGGTCCCCTACTTGGGGATTCCTTCTTTCCGGTGTGTGAATTGTAATTTTGGTGGTTCTCTGGGAATCATGTTCGGGATTTTGGTAATGAACCGAAGGGGATCCCCTGATGGTCTGGTTCCGGATTCCCTGCTTGCCAAACCACGATTGGCCGCCAGATCAACCTCCTGGAGCCTCGGGGACAGTTTGGCTCCCGACTGCAGGGCGGCAAGGAGTGGGGGCGAGGATTTCAGTCGGTGAGTCTGGTTGGGAAGCGGATTTCAGCGTCGTTCTAAGCATTTGCTAGGCAAACTCCAGTCTTTTTGTCTAAAAAGGCACCAAGAGATTTTAGAATTGCAGATCCTGTCCACAAGAAGCTAGTGCGTACAAAGCGGAATGTGACAGTACGTAACAATACGTTTATGTGCATGGAAGCAGTACAGGGCATTCTTATTTTACCTTCACGCATGATTGTCCTATGCTCATGATGTAATTTGGTTTACCGGTACCCCAGTACTCAACTCTGTTTCCGTGCATAGTGTGCAACATGGGGAACCACCCTCAAACCCAAAGAACCATAGCGAACGGTTCATCAGGTTGTTTTGTTCATAGTGGTGAGTGTTTCCGGCTTTCCTTGAATAGGAATACAAATGCACTGAACACGAAATCAAATTGACATTGGTGAGGCGTCGGCTTGATCTTCAGGCAGCTTGTCCTATGGTAGAGTTGAGGCTTACCGCGGCAAACCGAAGAAGCAAAAACACAGAAAACACTACGAGGAGTGGTTGCGAGGAGGGGTTCCGATCTCGCAGGATCATGCTGCCTCCCGTTACATCTTCACCTGCCTGTCGAAGGCACGGGTGGCTTCCGCAGAAGCATCGACTACAGGAAACAACAACGTCTGCCTATTTGGATCTTTAGCGAAAGAAATCAGACCCCCTGAAGAAATAAGAGGAGCCCCCAAAGTTCAGCAATCCCTGAAAAAAGGGGTCCTCACATGGGTTCCTTTTAGCGTTCCTATCCATGCTAGCACCCAAGCGAGACAAACAATCCGGGGCCAGCCCGGATACTTTTTGTGGGTCGACCCCTCCAAAGTTCTTTTTGGTTCCTCTGCACATGGCCCAGATGATATGTCCAAATTCCAACTTGGGTGTACATAGGCCTTTCTAAAGGCAAATTACTCATGTTGGAGGTTTCTCGTTGAGACGCACCTCGCACAAAGGGCGTTGCCTCTAAATAGGAGATGGAACCCAATCAGAATGGGCGTCAGTTTTTCAATGGTAGCAACTCTCAATACACAGCAGGAGCTATATGGTATAGCTTTTGCAAGGGGATCGGAGTAGATCTTAACAAGAATCTTGCGCAACGCCTTCCACAGTGGACAGGGGCTTCAGGTAGACTTCTACCCACATACATAACAGCTCTGAAATGTGCTCGCCATGCCATTGTTTGGCGCGTTTTGGCTCTGGATCCTGGATGCGTCCTTGTTTCTACTTTAGTGGGTTGCTGCTGGAATGCTGGTTTCTCTCATCACGTAGGGCCTGTTGAAGTGTGTTTCCCAGATGCTACCATTATACCCTCCCACCAACTAACATGGAAGTACAAAGACCTTTTCCAAGAGGAAAGTAGCCTTTCTGCAGGGGTTTGTGCACTTCCATGTTAGTCGGTGGGAGGGTAGCAGGCATGTTCTTTCCCTTTACCTACTTTGCTGGACAGGGTCACTGAGCAGGGGTGATGTTCGAAAGGGAACGTGGAGCTCCGCTTTTCCATGGCGATCCAAATGAGACATCAACAGGTGGGTGGTCAAAGCCCGAGATCCTTTCGGAGTCAACCCCTTTTTGACAGCAAAGTGTTGTAGCTTATGACTGGCTCATGCCGTTGCTTTTTCCCCGGCCAACCTGGACCCATGGACCGTTGCTCCGTCCTATGGCGCACGGCTTTTGTGAAGGGCTTGGTGAGGGGGTTTGCAAAGGCAATCCAGAGTGCATAGTTTGGTTTGATTCTGGTTGTGTCTCGAGTTTGGTAGGCTTGGGTAGACACTGATCATTCCTCATGGTGTTATACAATTACCATTTTGGCTCAAGTGCCTTGAACCAAACTGGCTAAGTGTATTTCTTCTTCGTGCGCCCCATGCAGTACGCACGTCAGGGTGTTGATGTGGCGGTGCATTGCAATGAGGCCCTTCTTTCCGCGGGGGCCTTGCTGGATTTCAGGGCGCATGTTGAGGGGTTGCTTGCCCGGGGGACCGGGCGGGGGCTCTGGTACTATGGGAGTCCGTGGTGGTTTTCATTCACGAACCACACATCCCTGATGCGGAGTTTGTTGTTGACGGTACCCCCCTTGGAGGAATGCCCTTGCACTCTTTCCCCGTGCCCACAATGTGAGCAAGGTAGGGGGGGTGTTTCCGTTTCCCGTGGCTCGGGATTTGGACTCGCCGTAGTGTTCTGGCCCAGCCTGGTGCGTCACCGGCCGAAGTGTGGTGTGGCTACCATGCTAACCTGGAGAGGTTGGATCTCCTGCTCCTGGCGCCGCTTGCGTCCGGGAGGATGCGGGCGGACTTCTTGCCCGAGCGTGTGGAGCGGTTGCTTCACTGGGTGGATGCCTCCCCTCAGCGTGGACTCAGCCGCGGAGCGATCTTCACGGCTTGGCGCCGGTGGCAGTTGGGGCGGCCCTGCTGCCTCCTGTGCCGCTCGAGCTGCCAACAAGCGATCGGCCAGGCCGAAACCACCTTGGAGCTTCGCCTGCTTGTAGGTGCTGAAGGCAAAGGCAAAGTCCTTGTCGTCCAGCAGCCCGCGCTCGCGCCTCCACTCCTGGACCCGCGCAGCCGAGGCTTTGTCCAAAGCGCTCTCCGGTGTCCAGGAAGTGCCCCCCTCCATGGCCATCCGAGCATAGATCCCGTGCTCCTGCGCCATGGCGCTAGCTGCTGCCAAGCCCAAAATTGCTGCTGCAGTCCGGGCATACTGAACGGCCGTTGCGAGTGGCAAACGTAGGAAAATAGCAAAGGACGCACACCGGTGGGAAAAATTCGACGCCACCGGCGAGGCCGCCCAGCCAGTGCCACTCGCCCGGCCCCCACTGCCCCACCAACGGGGAGTAGTCTTTGGTGCCGGATGCGGCTCGGGTGATCGAGGGTGAATATCGGGGCTTGGTGCGCCCTTCATCATCCGTGGCAGCTTCTGCCCTGGCAAGGCATCGGGGAGTGAGGCTCACTCCTCGGGAGCCTCAGCCAAAGGTTGTGGCAGAGCAGGCGGTGCGGTTGGGCCTGGTGCTTCAGCAGGCCGGTGCCCTCAGGCCCTCTGGCCATGTCAGCACCTTGCTGCGGGCTGAGTGGCAGGCGGCGTGACGGCGACTGGGCCAGCTGCTCACCAAGCGAGCGGAGAAGGTGACCGTCCAGAATGCTTTGCGAACTTGGGCGGAGCTCGAGGGCTTCCTTCAGCAGCAAGGGAGGTCCTTCCCACCGGAGCTGTTGGACCTGGAGGTGTTCATCACGGAGGCCACGCCCGCACCGGCCCGCTCATTGGCAAGTTTGCGTTGGATCTTCAATCAGGCCAAGGTCAACATGGACTTGCAGATGATCCAGTTGCCCCGCCGAGTGGCATCTCGGCCTCACAAGCGTGGCCAGGCAGCGGTGATGGAGCCCGGCGTGGTCAATCACCTGGAGCGGCGGATCGTCCAGATGTTCGAGGCTGGCGAGGAACGCTGGTCCACACTTCTGGGTGGCTGGTTGGTCATGGCGGGCGTGCTCCGCTACAAGCATGTGACGATGGCCGAGCCACGCAAGATCACGCAGAGCGCCCTGCACGCCCACTGTCCCAAGGGTAAGCAGAAGAAGCTCTGCCAAGGGTTCAGCTTCATGATCGCGAGCGCTTTCCTCAGCGGCTTCCCCTGGGCCGAGGTGTTCTTCGTGCATGGAAGGCTCTTCCACGGGCGACCCAACGAACCTCGGGCCTTTGCTTCGCACGGGACGGACGGCCATGGGCGTTGTCTGAGGTGAACCTGGTGTTGCGGGCTGAGTTCAACTCGTACTTGGAGGACGCCGATGCCCTGAGCACCTACTCCTTTCGCAGGGTGGCACCAACGCTTGGCTCACTTCTCAAGTTCTCCGGCACGGAGCTTTGTGCCCTTGGTGACTGGCAGGACCGCAGCCAATTGGGCGAGGAGTCTCGCATGCCCATGCACTACTCCGGCGCTCGCTACTTGCTGAGTTTCAAGCAGAAGTTCGTAGCCCTGATTTCACTAGTTGGGAGGGTATCCCAACGGTGCAACTGGAGCCGTCCAAGAAGGCCGGGGAGGTCTTTGCGGGGCGAGCCCAAGCCCGGGATGAGGTTATCATCTGGGCGGCCCCCCTAACATGGAGGAGCTTCGATCCCGACTGCGGGTCTCTATCCAGGCCGGTGGCTGCGGCTAAGCGCAAGGCGGAGCTGTCCGTGATCCAGGACATGCCGGACTCCATCAACGGCATCATGATGTCAGCCTTCATGCGCAATGGTCGCCGACTTTGCGGCCCCTTCCAGCTGGACGCATGCAAGGAAGGCGAGGAGGTGTGCGGTCGGGCGCATCTGTGCGCTGTCCTCCAGACGGGCCGGGTCTGTGGCGGGCGCCATCATGGGCAGGACTGCAAAGCCAAGCGGGTGGTCCGGGCCTCTTCGGTTGCGGAGGGCAAGCATACAGCACCCCCGGCGCTGCCTGTGGTGGAGTCGGCGCGCGGCAGCAAGCGGCCCCGGCCCAAGCAGCAGGCGGCCAAGTTGGTGGACAGGAGCGGGCAGCTGCCCACGATCAAGCGGGCTCGGCAGCAGGAGCCGTCTTCAGCCTCCCGAGCGCCACCTGTGCCTGTCGAGGAGGCACCTCGGCCGGGACGAGGAGGTGAGTCGGCAAGACAGGATCAGCACTTCGATGACCTCGCGCGCCAGGGCCGGAAGGTGGAGCCACCTACGCTGGTGCTGTCCTTGGGGCAAGCTCTGGCTCAGTGGTCTCCCCACGCAGGACAACTTGGGCGACTTCCCGGCGGTGGCCTTGCAGGTGACGGCTTTCAAGCAGAAGCCGCAGGAGCGAGGAGGCTTGGTGTTGCCTGGCGTGATGCAGGTGCAGATGCCGATCACTTTTTGGGGGGACCGGGCGCACTCACTGGCCCACCATCGCCCAGAGTCTCTATGGCGGGGATGAGGTGCTGCTGCGCTGCATGGCGGGTCGCCATCGCGCTGCCGCGTTGGCGGTGCTGGTGCGAGCCTTGTTCGAGAACATCTCCTTGGAGGAGTCAGCGCAGCGGATCAGCAGACTGCGGCACATCGGCTCTATGCGACCCGGAGGTCGGCCCGGCTCCCAACTCCGTGGCCGTTGACGGTGGGTTACCTCACCACGGCGAGGTCCAACGTGCATTTGCGAGTGGCAGGTGATGCCCCGCTGTGCATGTTCAAGCAGAGTGCGCCTAACGCAGAGGCTCGCTTGCAGGGAGCGCTCCTCTTCGGCAGCATCTTCGAGGCGTTGGCGGCGGGTCGCATGATGTGCCAGCAGTGCATGGCCCGTGCCCCGGCCAGCTGGCAGAAAATCTGAGCTGCCAGTCATTAATTCGGGCCTGCAAACCCTCCTTCGAGGGATGCCCGAAGATAACAGCTGAGCTCATAGAAATTTTTGCGTAATGCCCGGCCTCTCGGCCCTGAAGATACTTTTGTGTAGCTGCCTAGGCCCGAGTTTCATATGGTAGGGTGTTCGCCGCCGGGCTCATTGTAGTGGATTGTCAGGATGTGAAAAGTCTTGAGTGATTTGCGCATGCCTTCCTGTTTAGGATGCCTTGCCCCACAGTCAAGAGAGAGTCTGCAGCTGGGCTTGACAGATTCTCTGTTCGCACCAAACTGTCCTCTGGTCGGCAGGCCGCGGGTGACGCGGCGAGCAGGCTGGCCAGGGTGGGACCCTGGGCCGGATCATGGCGAGTTTGCCATTGGTGCCAAAGGAAGGAGGTACCATCCAAGCCACGCTGGAAGCGCTGGCACTGAACTTCACCCTGGACGAGGGGATTGTTCAGGCCCTCCTGAAGTGTAAGATTCAAAACCTGGAGGAGTTTCGGTTCCTGTTTAACACTGAGGAGCAAATCCAGGTTTGGGTGAGTAAGTTGGGGCTGGGGGAGGAATCCATGATACAGACCGCAAGGCTGCGGAGGGCCTGGAATGCGGTGAGCCTGTACTACCGCCAATCGGAACAGGATCGTTCCAGAGTGAGCGTCGAGGATTTGGACGCACTCTTGGCGGACGGAGAGCTTCGCGAGACCAAGGTGGCTTTCTGGAGGCGTTACCGGTTGCGGTTCCCCCCCGAGGTGCATCCATCCGACTCAACGGTTTCAAGAGTCAGCAGGGAAATGGCCAAACGCATGCTATGTGTGTTCAATGTGTGGAAGGTCCGCTCTCTTCAGTTTCAACTCACCACGGTGCAGCGCAAGCGGAAGCTGGCTGAGGGCCTGTACACCGAGGAGACCAACGAGGAGGAGCCGATCTTCCAGGACTGGGAGGGCTACCTTGACAAGCTCCACACGCTCATGGTGGCCTACTCGATGGCGGGTACCGCGGCGACGCAAAGCAGCCCGGACATCCAGTTGGAGAAGGCACTTGGGGCGGACTCCACTCAGTTCGTCCAAGTTCCGCTGGATGTGGCGATGCAGTACTACTACCGCGCTAAGCGGACGGCAGGGGCACTGCCGCCGGCTCGGCGCCTGCAGTGGTTGCAGGCCAAAGATGTTGACGAACGGTCTGAGTGGGTAACTCGGATCAAGGAGGTCTACGCTGCCCGAGACGCACATTGGGCGGTGGGGGTTCAGGAGCCTCAGGCCGCTTCGTCTCAGGTGGCACCGGCACCTGCATCCAAAGCCGCTGCAAGTACCAACCTCCTCACGCAGGGCAAACCTATTGGCGGTCGCTCGGTGGCCCGGACCATGCGCGACGGGACGCAGATCTGCCAGGCCTTCCAGCACGGCAAGTGCGGCGCCAAAGGCAAGTGCATGCAGGGGGTACAGCAGCCGGTTCCCCCTCTCATGGCTGATTTGATGGCCGGCCCGCGGGTACCGCTGACCAAAGCTTTCCTTCATTGCGGTTGGCGATGCCTGCCAGTTGACTGGCTGCTGGATGCCACCCACGACCTGGCCGACCCTCAGCGGCAGGAGCTGCTGCACGAGCAGCTGTTGGAGGTCGATTTCATTGCAGCGGCCATTGATTGCTCTACTAAGTCACGGGCACGGGAGATCCCGCGGAAGTTCGACGATGGTCGCCCTGCACCACAACCACTTCGCTCGGAGCAGTACCCGGAGGGCCTACCAGGCCTGCGGGGCAGGGACTTGAACCGAGTCTCTGTCGACAACCAGGCCTGTGCATGGGTTTTGGAGGAAATCGAGCAGCTGGAGGTGCGGGGAGGGGCATCTATTCGCGAGAACCCCGCCCGGAGCCTACACTGGGCTCTGCCCTTGGAGCAACGCATGTGGCAGTCAGGGCGATGGCGCGACAAGACCTACTCTGCATGTGTGTTGGGTGGAGCTCGAGCCAAGTCGCAGCGACTGCGCCACAACCTGGACGAGATCGACGCCTGGCCCCCCATGGCTTGCCAGCATTCTCACGATCCCAAGGAGTGGGAGCCTGTGGAGAGCGCTACCGGCCGCTTCTACCCGAGCAAGGAGGAGGCTGAGTATACGGCCCCGTTGTGCTTTGCTCTGGCGGTCGCCGCTTCATGGTGGGCGGTGCGAACGGGCAGAGCAGTGCTGCAAGTCCCCCGGATGCCCACAGTCGAGTGTGTGGGTCGCAGGGAGGACTGGCTGCTGTTGGACCCGAGGGCCATGCGTGAGTGGGCTATGGCACCGGTCGCCCGTCCCTGGGGCTTTGCTTGCGGGGTGCCCAGGCGCAGGGGTTACCTGTGCGGGCGCAGGCCCAGGCAGTGCTGGGCGAAAGGAAGTTTTTGCCGGACGCACACATCTACGTGGGTATGGGTCACCATAGCCACCGTCTTGCATGTTCCAAATGGGCGGCCAACGGGATCCCAATTATCCACTGCGGAGGAGACAACTGGCCGCAATCTGTGGCCCACATCCACCAGTCCGGCCTCTTCGACCAGTTGGAGGAGCTGGAGGGGATGACGTTGGTGTGCGACTGCGCCATGGAGGTACCATGCAAGGCGGACGTCTTGATCGGCCTCCTCTTCGAGTGGCGGTTGCAGAGCGGTGAGCCGGGGCGCGAGGCGTCCCAGGAGAGCCGCTTTGGCAGCCTGGGGGGGGATCCCAGGCGCCCAGGCGCTTCCACACAATTTGCAGAAGCATTCTCAGGAGTTTCCGACGACTATTTCCCCATGAGTGGTTGCAGCACACCACTTTTCCGATGATTGAGGACCTCATCAATTCGTTCCCCTTCTCTGCTTTTACCGAATGGTGCGAGGACCAGGAGCTTGATGTTGATGGTCCAATGGGGCCGGTGCTGGCCACTCGCACAGCACGTTTTCGACGGATCACCGCAACGGGCCGGCAAGCTGGAGCCCTGAGCCACAAGGCCGCGCTCCCGCCACTTCAGGCGGGTGAGCCTACCCCGGATGAGCACTTCGATCACGCCTGGTACAGGCGGCAGGATCGGACGCCTTTGGAGGAGGAGCCCATGCTGGACGCTTTGCAGCGGCATGTTGTGCCCGCTGGCGAGGTCAGATGATTGACCTTCGGCGGCAAGCAGTAGGAGCCTTGCGGGAGCTGAAGCAGCGCTGGCAAGGCGTCACGGCTGCGCTGCGGGAGCGGCAACAGGCAGCAATCGGCCGAGTGACGGCCCAGCGGGACGTGGGTTTCACGGCTCTATTGATCATCCTGAGCTCGTGGCCGGATGTGTCCTATCCGTACGGGTTGGTGTGCCAGAAGGGCCGACCCCTAGATCTGGCCCTCGGAGGCCAAATCCGCTATTGCGCCGCGCAAGCAGTTTATCAACGGCCGGCGGCCGGCCCCGATTGCCAGTTTATCAAGGTCAGCCCCAATGGCAACTTCCCTGAGCAGGAGGCACGGCGCATCCCGTTCGAGGAGGTGGTGATGGGGGCAGAGGCCAACAACCAGCGGATCTTGGCCACCCTGCGGTCAGGCAAAGACGATGTCTTTATCCTATCTCAGTCCACCCTGGCGGAACGAGGTTTCTGCACCTACCCGATGCGGCGGCAAGAGCTTCTTCAGGCGGTGACGGGAGCTCCCTTCCGTTTAATACCCAGGTGTGTTATCACACAGAGCTCTGGCAAGCAACGTATAATCGACAACGCCGATCAGGGGGGACAAAGCGAGTTGTCAGCTGATGCTAACAAACTGGTTTTGTGCACGCCCCTGCGCCTGCGCAACACATCCGAGCAGTGGTGGCACAGACGGCGGCTGCGGCTGATTCCTGGGAGTCTGGGGGAGAGAACTGGCCTGATGCCTATCGGCATTCGCCGATGTCGCCACAGGAGTGCTTAGGCTGCGTGGTGGTCTTCTGGCACCATTTGTGGGCAGAGCCAGCCTACCAGCTTTACGCGGGTCTCTTGTTTGGGCTGCCCCTGGCGGTCACCAGTTTCAACCGGTATTCCAGGTTGGTGGAGTCCCTTGGACGCAGGCTGGTTTTTGTGCTGGTGTCAATGTATTTTGACGACGCGAGCTTGACAGACTGGCGTTCAGCGCAGGGGTCTGGACAGTGGGCCTTTGAGAAACTGAACGTCCTTTTGGGAACCCTCTTTGCTGAAAAGAAGCGCCAGGCCATGGCATCCCAAGGCGTTTTCCTGGGATTGGACCATGACATGTCTGAAGCTCTCTCCCATGGCCACGTGAAGTTCTGGGCCAAGGCGAAGTTGCACGGCAAGCTGCAAGGGATGCTGGCGGCGTCTCGTTCCACGCAGCGCCTCACCCCAGTTCTTGGAACTCGGCATGTTCGGTAAGGTGGGGGCAGGTGGCCTGCACCCGATCCGGATGCGGCAGGACGAGAGGCACTCGACCCTGACCGCTGAGATTTGCCGTAGTTTCGAGCTGCTCGAAGCCGTGTTTCAGGTGCAGCCACGCCGAGTGTTTGAAGCGATGCACCGTGCATGCCCCCGCTTTTTCGCAGCGTCAGATGCAGCACTGGAAGTGCCTGGCGAGGGAACAGGAGGGTTCCTGATTGTCTGGTGTGATGCTCAGGCAGAATTGCGTGAGGGTTTCGTCGCCCAGATTCCGGCAGCCTTGTACCAGCTGTGGACACCTGGCGATCACAAGATTGCCCAGTTGGAGCTTTCCATGGTCCTGTTCGCCTTGATGGCTCGGCCTGGCAAGTTCCGACATCGCAAGGGGGTGTGGTTCATCGATAACACTGCCGTGTTGATGTGCTTGGTGCGTGGACGGTCGGCACAGCCGGACCTGGAGCACATGGCGCACTTGATACACGTGATTTTGTTCTCCTTGCAAACTTGGATCTACTGGGAATACATTCCATCGCAGTCAAACTGGGCTGATGCGATCAGCCGGGAAGGTGCCCGTGATCCTTGGCACCGTTCCAGAGGTTTCTCGACACAATCGACCGCTCTGCCGCTGATCATTTGGCATCTCCCGTTGCCAGCGTTGATCTCGGTTGTGCATTTCCTTTGAGTGCCTTGGGATAGGTAGTGGAGTGCATTGGGGTGTTTACCCTGTCAGCTGTACACGCCGGGATGGCAGTGGGGAAGCTGACAGGGGGCCTGAGTGGGGCCCACTCAGTGCCCTACTTTAGCTCACTGGAGCATACCAAGGCAAATCCTCGGAGTTCGAGGTTTACTACAAAGGATTGCACCCGCTATAAAAGAAGTGCGAGAGAGCTGTGCGTTCGTGTTGAGGCATACACCATAGGAATGAATGTGAGAGTGCAAGAAGCAACAGCTAAATCGTCATCACATGTCATCATCTGCTTTTCTCTCCTTGAAAAGGATCAAGGTACTGCATCTCCGCTCTCAGATTGCAACAGGAATGGGCGTCTGCCAAGCTTTCACCCAGGTCGATGCAAGATGCTTTACACAGGGGACAGCATCTAACAGCTCATCAACCATGGAGGCCTTGTCCAAGAAGGTGGTTCAGCGAGCATCTTCTGGCGAGTTGGACACCGACTTTGCGAAGAGTCACATTGGATGTATCGATCTTCTAGAGCTTGGTAGGCTTACAGCCACGGAAGTTGCTGGCATGGTCGGAAGAAATACAAGTCGCAACCACCTAGACAATATCTCAAAGCTCTGTTTGGCCTACGTACGTCCCAATGTCACATTGGAACTCATGTGTCGTTTTTATGGTTGAGCCCATCAACATGGCGTGCGGGAGAACACCGGCGTTTTTGGCTACACTCTGTCCCCATGCGTGCGGTGTTCTTTCCACAAAATCCTGCCCCTGGGTTATAGAGAGGTCAACGGAGAAGCAGTTTCCTATACTTTTTGGGTGGAGTGGTATGGGCAAACCCTCACCTAAATGATGTCCACCAACGGGAGCCCCATTAAAATTCACACCTAGCTTCCGCGTGGTGGTTCCGCAAAGCAAAAAGGACACACCTAGGCGCATTCATCCAGCCTATGAGTATCCAGGTGTTTGGCCCTGTTTTGGTTGGTTTTTAAAAACCACAATGACCAACCGAACTCCCATGTAGGCCTATGGAATCGCTAAGGGCGGTGGCTTTCGCACCTTTGGTCACATCGCGTCCGGGTCTCCGCTTCAGGCGACGCGATGCATCTTTCCTGAAGAAGACGATGCAGTGTTGGAGCGCAAAGCTCGGAGAAGTTGCCAGAGCTGGTTGCACATGAGGTGCAGTCAACGTGTCCACGGCTTTGAACCTCAACCTTGGGCCGTAAGGTGAGTTTCCTTTGGTGGGGTGAGTAGTCGATGGTCCCGTTGGCAGCCACTTAGTGCAGGGTCTCCAAAGGGACCCTTTTGGGCTTGCTGAAAAGGGTTGGACGTTCAAGGGGGACCCATTGTGAGACAAGCCCAACATTTCCCGGCATTTTCAACCTCACCTTTTCTGCGAAAGATCGGGAACCCGAGCGCTGGCCTCCCACATGAGGTTTAAAATGTCCAAAGATGTAAAGACCCCGGACACCCGGAGACTCTCGAACAAACCATTGCCAAGGAGGGTATGGCAATGTTTGGCCGTGGCTCATGTTTGTGGAGAGGCCCTGTACCTCTTTGAAGAGAAACCAAACGGAAGTCTTGAGATACAGCACATGCTTCGAGTACCCCGTGCTTGAGCTCTGTGACTCTTCGCAAACATGTCAGAATGAAATTCCATAACGCTGCCATGTTTTTCCGATGCTTTCCGGCGACAGATGCCAAAGGCACCTCCGCTGAGGTACCAATCCGAGGAGGGTCACCAGATTGAGCCGCGCAGGGCGGCTCAAGTGAGAGACCCGTGAGGTTGGGGCCTGCTTCCGCAGGCATTCAGGGGGGCTCCCTTGGCCTAAAGACCAACAAGGGCAGAAAATTGGCAAGCGGTTTCTGTTAGTTTTCCGCAAAAGCCAACTTTCCCGCCCTGTAGCTACTTGATGCTATCATACTTCAGGTGCAAGTTGCACGAAGCTCTGGCTGCATGGGAGGGAGAAAGGTCAGGCACAAGATCGCTTGGTAGGAGGGATCTTACGCCAGGTAGAAGGGTTCTTGGGCCAACGTTGGGCCGACGTTGGGATGAGCAGCCCTTGGGAATGCAGAACATGAGAGTGGGCCAATGAGAAGGAAAACGGTCAAACGGATTGTGTTTTGTGGCAACAAACACACACGAGCTTATTTTCGGCGTCCATAAAATTGTTTACCTCTTTCGGTTGATGTTTAAAGGAACCGCGAAAATCATTTCGAGCGCACATGGGCACCAGTTGACGCAAATGGTCCGGTTGAGGCTTCGACGTTTTGAAAGCGGGCGAGGCTTCTATTGCCCGATCATCCCCCTGGCTCTTGTGAATGGTGCTGATGGCCGGGGTCTCAGCCGGAACGGGACAGAATTGAGCGACCAAAACGGATTCCGAAAGGGACACCTTAGCAGGCGCTTCGTTTCATAGCTAATCTCAAATTGTTTCTTGTAAGTTAGGCCTATATGCCATTTACTACCGTGGTGGTGGAGCCAAGAATGAATGGGTTTCCTGTACTCCCATTCGACTGCTTCACCTGAAAGCGTCGGCTGTTTCAGGTTCCCTTTTGGGGCGCGCACTCGTTCAGAATGTCCATTGGTCCCGTCGTGGATTCCGATCCATGCAGTGTACCAGGTCTGTTCCTGGCATTGTGTTAAGAAACAAATACGTTTTCGCCCGGGAACGCCTGGCCACCTGGCTGCCTTTGTTCCGCAGGCAGTACGGAAACGGCTCCGCGAGGTCTACGATTACCTCGCAGCGCGCGTGCGGCATTTGCGACACGACTCCGCTGTACGCGAGTGCGCTGCATTTTTTACATGCTCCGGCCACAGTGGCCATGGTGCTTGCTAAAGTGAAAGCCACAGGCGCCATTTGAGACGCCGTCCCCTTTATGGATTTGAGTCTATACAGCAAGGTGGAAACGGTCGATGAAGTCTCAGCGATGTTTGCTTGGCCCAAAGAATGATGGGGCTTGCTTTGATCAGAAAGACTCTTGCCCGATATGTCCGTTTAATCAGTGAGGCGCCTCGATGCATAGCCCGTGGGCATCACACCTCTCAGGCGATGCCTTACGCGGATGCGATGGGGAACTCGGGAGACTTGTCCTCTTGCCCCTGCTGGGAATGAGTCCTGGATGGCGGTTCACCAGAAGTTCAGACTCGACGCCAGTCTGCGTTATTGATGATCAGCTTGTAATGACCCCAAAGGGCTCTTCGACCCTTTCACTTCTCTTCCGTGGACTCTTGGGCCTACAGAGAGAGCTTTTTGGTTTGCGCCCTTGTGTCAGGCTGTCACAAAACAAGAGTCCTCAACTTTGGGAGCCTTCGAATAGTTTAGGGCTTTGTTGGTGGGATGTGAGGAGCACCTAAGGACCCTCTTGTTGTTTTAGCAGGAACCCGCGGAAATCTTTGCCAATGTAGGGCTCCGGTTTCATTCCCTGTCCGTGGCGAGGCATCGGCACCGGGTGGAGCACCAGCATCCCAAACTACAATCCGCCCGGCAGCCGAGCGAGCGGGCTTTCGCGTCGCGCGTTTTCGGCGGACGGAGGAGCTGGGGTTGCCGGTTGCCAGTTGAACTCAAACACGAGTCTACACCAACAATGACAACACGTGGTAAGAACAAAGTGGACCCCACAAACATTGCATCCGTTGTGGTTTGTTTCGTTGAACATGGATGGCTTCCACCTGGTTCTAGCTTGGTTCTCATCAATTTGAGTGTGGTTTACCCTTCAAGCGTAAGAAATGGACAACCACGAATTTCTAGAACTCCCAATTTCTACGCACCATCTGGGGCCTGCGTGTTCCCTGCAGGGTGTCTTAGGACTTGCCTTCAGACGCATGCCTTAGGCACTGCCTTCCGTTTGCTTGGGGCTTGTTCTTTCGTTCGAAGGGAAATTGTTTTTCAGTGGCTGTTTGCGATTGAATTTCCCCACAAGAAAGCCACAAGTCAATGGCCCCTTGGGTGTTTTCATCGGAAACTCGGTTGCTCCGAAAACGAAGTCAGCAATTCTCAGGCGGGACCTCATTGCCAACGTGCGGCTCATCCTGCGGAGGCCGGCATGGCCATCGCCTTTGTTTGAGCGTACCCCTTTTTGGTCTGCTTCAAAGGAAACCGAAAGGACAACTGCAGAAACCGAAGCCATTCTGGAGGGTCTCATCCCATGTCCCAAAAAGGGATGTCGGCTTTCCCCTTTACCAGCCAACACGGAGTTCCACGGGAAAAAAAGGGAGCACCCACATACCTTGGGTAGCAACCCTTTCAACTTGTTGGCAAACTTAATAGATGTTGTTTGCTGCTGATTGTTAGGAACCACGATCGGCTACAAGCCACTACTAGGGGCAACCACTCCCTTGGAATAGTCATCCTTCCGCAAGGCGAGGAGGTTTTTTCAACGCATTTTCGCACATCAGCATAAGGCGAATTGTGGAGACCTAATCCCCCGCACTCCTTTCTTTGGCCCAGACTGTTTGGCCGTGCGAGGGATCCTTTTCGAGCCTCGGGAGACTTTTAGAAGGATCAAAGCAAACCTATCAGCCCCTAAACAATTTGAATCTTCGAATGGTGTCGTGGGGTACTTCAGTAACAAGCAACTTGAGTTATGATGAGGTATTCACGCTGGCTGGCTGCGCCAGGCAAGAGCCAGTCGCCATGACACCGTGGTACCGCGGCTTCAAGGGCGCCGCTGGGAGCCCCATGCGGCGCTGCGGGCGCTGGGAGGGTGGGAGGTTATTTCCCAGATGAGGTGACCCGGAGTGTTTATAGTGCGAGCCAGGGGCCGGGGGGGGATGGAGCGATGGGGTGATTTGACCCATGGCTCTCTTCAAAGGTGGCCCCGTTTGTGATTGGTCGATGAATCAATGAATCATGCCAACAGAAGGCTGACGCGCCCTGGTGCCATTGCTTTGCCACTAAGGAAGGACAAGCAAATTGGACACATGGCTTGCCTTTGCCTCGATCGCCTCAACCTCCCTACAGGTGCGGCCTGTGGAGAACTTCCCTGGCAAGCGCGGCGTCCAAGAGCGGTCGGGGCTGGAGCCGAGGTGGCCCTTGTCGTGCTTTAGGCGGGCGGCAATTTTTCGGGGCAATCTATGGTTTGCACCTGGCAGGCTGACTGACGTGTCTGTTCCAGCTTCGCCTATCATTTGTTGGACCCCAAAGGGAGTATGTCCTTTGGGTTTGGAGTGCCGGAAGCTGTTCGAACAACGCAAATAAATGTAGGCAAGCTCGAGTCCGCTGAACAAATGTGGGCATCACAGGGGGAGAGTTGTGCTGACCCAACTGTTGAGTGTCTGCTAGTAATTCAATCGATTGCCTGCCATTTTGTGATGGTCATACCGGGAATCAGAACCCAGCCCTATCATCGGCTGCACCCCAAGTTTTCATGGTTACAACCACTACCCCAAATGTAGGTTTTCACACTCACCCTCAACACTTGGTCCTCTCATGTTTGGACACCCCAGGTTTTCTCGCAACGGAACAATAGCTGGAGAGTGCTGCAACTTTTTAGACAGGTGGAAGCGGCCTTTCAACATCAGATTTGTGTTTGGTTGGAGGATCGGTGCCATTATCTGAGTGAGCTTAAAGGGACGCCAAATGTTTAGTTTCAAGGGAATCCAAAGGACCCCCCGCATTTGTTGGATCCCCCTGCTTTGACACTATTTCCGATCCAGAAGGGTCCAAGTACTCTTTGATCAACGTACCTGCTTGGCTCGGTACTTGAATCCTGAGGGCGAAACACACTCGATCTTGTGCGGTTGCAATTATTTGAAGGAAAGACAAGGAACATGGCATGCCGAAGGCAGTTGATTGACTCTGGGGAAGAAGTGCTAGCAAGCGCCAGCAAGGACAATGAGCAACTTGGGAACCTGGTGTGAAAACAGGCACATTTCGGTCAGGACAGCAAACACATATTTGCGGATGCATCACGGATCAACCACAAGTTCGGGTTGAAGAGTTTGCAGCTGCCATCAATTTGCATATTGGTCAGGCTAGCTACAATCGGTTTGGCTTGGTACAGACTTTCTCAACTGCTTGTTTTCCAGAGGGCATTTTTCTTTTATAGCGGCCCCGGGCAAAGTATGCTTGGCTCATTCGGAGGCCGGGTTTCAGACCCATTTCCCAAAATCTCGAATTCGGGCTCCAGATGAATATGGTTCTATTTATCTCCAGGGTCTCGGCAGCATGTATTCCTCTTGATATGAACTTCATGTTTACTTCCGAATGATCGTACTTATCAGATGGGCCAGGGATCAATCGGCCAATTGCGGTCGGTGTATGTCAAAGTAGGGGGTTGATGAGTCTGGCGGGTCTTATGAATCAATTGGCACTAGCCCAGGTCGACCTGTTTTCACATGTTGCTGTGCCACAAAGCCGAATCTGTGGATATGACAACGAAGGGAGCATCTACGGCCGCTTCCCTAAATATGGCAAGTGTGGAACAAGGATTCGGACGCTTTTCATGGAGCCATTTTGAGCCGACCATGGATACAAGGAGCACTCATTTGCCCGTTTGGGAGGCTTCCCTTTGCCCCTGCCAGGCAAGGTGCAATACGACTGCGAAAGGGCAGCATTTGCGTACCTGAATATCGGTCGTCTTGCAACACGTAGGGGGTGGTGCCCTCAAAAACAAGGAGGCGATACCCGGTTAATATTGTATGTCCCACATGTGACCTTTTGGCAGCTTTGGCGCTGAGGTTTGAGGCAATGGGCGTGGCACAGCAGCAGCTTGTCTGCAGCGTGGTTGCGATCCGTTCTCTCCTTTGCTGGGAGGAAGTGTTTGCAAGGGAAGCAACAGAGGAGCCCTTTTTGCTGAATCTGAACTGGACAGCAATGGAATCGTTGCGCTTTGAAGGGGTTGAGCCCTTGTGACAAAAGCCGCCGGGCTAAAGGCCACGCACTTCCCGTTTTACCCACCACCCACGCCCACCAACACCCTACTCACCCCACTCACCCCACACCGCACTCGCCCACCCCAACACCGTTTTGAGCCGCGAAACGTGTTCCCCAGGAAGGGCCGCGTGCGGCTGGAGATCACCGAGCTGCCGGTGAAGCGCTGGACACAGGCGCGCTTAAGCCCTGAATGGGCAGGAGGTGAGCATTTCTAGGCCTACCAACAGGCGACATTTGGGTTGTCAAAACCGGACACTTGGGGTTGTCTCATTTTTTGTTTTTAAGTTGTTTTTTCTTGGGGGGGGTTGGCACGATTTGGCGTATCCAGCTCGATCTGCGGGTGGTAGCTTGGCAAGATTTGTGCTAATTTGGGGGTTGGGGTTATCAAAAGGGTTGCCCGTTGAGACGATGGATATGTGCCAAAATAGGGATTTGGAGCCCCCATGGCGTGGTCGTTTTCATTTTGGTTACCCTTACCAGCCTCAAAGAAGAACAGAAAACATGACCCATATATTTTTCTACTCAGGGATATGCCCGAGCCCTAAATGAAAATGAGGAAACGGCGGTTCACCAAAATCTTGGAGGGAGTATGACTATTGACAGTGGCCTCCAGATTGCAGGCACAGCGTGTCTTGGTGCAAGAAAATATTTCAGGCCTTCAATACGCCTGCTTTAGGGCGAGAATGCACTGACGTGCGATGGCAATACCATGATCAGCCATGATCCCTCGCGGGCGGCCATGCGCTAACGTGTCCAGAGTTGGGTTAGCCAAGGTGCACTCACGCGTGCCTAAGATGGTTTCCACTGCCCACAAACTGAAGCTGGCCCCATGGCAAAATGGGTATCCCACTAAACACCAGGGGTAGCTTCGGCTTGGGGAAGAAGGCATCTGAAAGGGTTCACATTTCCGAGGAACAACTCTTGCTCCGCAACAGCTTCCAAGTTGCAGTTGGTTCCCAAGTTTGGAGGAAAACACGGGAACTCGCTACAATTGCAAACCATGGTTGCGGAAAATAAGGTTGTATGGCTACTTTCTGTGATACCAAGGAACATCCCCTTAAAAGTGAGTTTCAGTCGTCATGCGAATGACCCGTGTTGGCGTCACAGATGATTTGCCACAATGGTGCTGCGAAACATCGTGCAGGATGCGTGATTTCTGAAAAAGAACACCACTGTGGGCCAACTCTTTGCAGTTGACTGGGGAGATCAGTTGATTTTTTCAACCCTAACCTTGTATGCTCAAAAGCCAAACGGGAAAGTAGAGCACAACAGGATCCCAGAATGGGTCTCCAAAATGGCAGTCTCCCCAATGGACACCATGAACGGGGGGAAAAAGAAAGAGGTCTGGGTTTGGCGTTCCGCTTATGTCTCGAAAGTGGAGACAACAGTTCGGTGCCGTTCTTTGTCCTGGTTGGATGATTGGGGCTGCCCAAGGATAAGGAAGAGGGCCCCAAACCAACCTGCCGATTTATGCCAAACGGAGAGTGTGCTCAAAATGGGATTCGAACCCCCCTGTTGGTTCGTAATTACATGTCGGTGTTTGGCTCGCGAGTGGTTTGATTTGAGCAAAGGAGCTGGGGGTATCCAAGTTTGCCCGTGAAGAGGGAGCTAAGGAGCCACCAGAAGTTTTGACCGGACATGGTAATCAAACCTTTTGGGATTACGTTGGTTGGTGGCAAACCCAAAGCCTAGACTTTTTGCGACCAATCCACTCGGCAAGTGAGTAGATTGACATGACCGGTAAATATGGATATGTACACTTAGTTACATGTTCTTTGCGTCACTTTCCGCGCACCATTTCAACACCAGGAACCATGATTTGACATGTAAAGCAAGATGGGCCGCAACGCCTACATCCAGTATCATCAAAGTTGTTTGCCCTGACCCCAGGAAAGCCCGAGGTTTCTTTCCTTGACAGATCCATGCTGATCAAAGATTTGACAGGACATGGTACTTGGCCCAAGTCCATAGGTGTCCTTTTTAGCTTAGTTTGACGAAAAACTAGATGGGTTCCACTGGTTTGGGGTTTCTTCCATTCACCAGGGCCATTTTAGGTGGGGTGTCTTCCTATTACCAGGGAAACCCATCTAGTTTTATGCAAATGGCCACCTATGCCCAGGTCCGTTTTTTGGGGGAAGCCAGGACTACAAGGAGTGGCTCGTGGAGCAGCTGCCAAAGTCCGGAAACGAGAGGCCACTCGCTTCGGGGACACATTCCAGGGGTGTCTGGGGTCTTGACAAATGGGCGTGTCTTTCTTTCAATTTGGTGACTCACCGCAACAAAAATGCAATTGTTTCTCATTGGTGCTTTTTTTAAACCAAAAGGATGAGGTTGCCTCAACAAAAAGACACACCCTAATACCTGCAGAATCCAACTCCTTTGCCACTGCCTACCCGCCAGGAGCAAACAGGTTTTCACCCCCAAAGGTTCGGAAGAAACCTTGGAGGTTCAAAGAGTTCATGGCCGAAGCGTTCCGAATGCCACCAGAGGACCCCGGTTTGGGTTGAGCCGGCGAGAAACAAAGTCAGGCATTTTGAGGAGAGCGCGCGAGAGAGCGAGAGAGCGCGCGAGAGAGAGAAAGATACTTTTGGACTTGGTGTTTGGCCAAAATATGTGGATATGTTGAGCCGCTAAGGAATCTTCTCGGGTTCGGAAATGCAACATGTGCTTCTAGGTTGACGGGGAGCCTCTTTTTGGAAGCCTCAGGGACCCACCCGTTTTTGTAGGGGGTTCCCCATGTTGAGACGAGGCTCATTTGGCTTGGCTTGTAGGCTTTGGCTGTGGATTCAGGTTCCAACCCTGTGCATGAGTGTACTTGTACATGCTCCGCCGCTACAGACTTCAAGATCACTGACAGCAGTGTGAAAAGGTAGTCAACGGTTTGCTGCTTGCCTAGGTATTCCCTTAGGTGGCCTAGGCTTGATAACACAGGTTATCAGCCGTAAAGGCTTGTACAAAGATCGCCATGGCATCCGGAGATATGCCTGCCATTTACAATATATCTGGAGATGTTGGTGACGGTAGTGAAGGTGCAGTTGCACCCAATGGTCCTGTCGACCCTCGCGATCCTCGAAACGTATTCGGATTCGCGACAAACTATCAAGCCACCCAGAACATCATGCATGTGCATAACGACACGGGTGACGCTGTTAGGGAAGAGGCCAACACGTTACATCGCGTTGCTATGGATGCTGCAAGGGCGGAATATAGCGCTCATTTGGCGGAAACTGTGCATCGCCTGGACGAGGAGAACAACCGCCGGACCCTTGAGCTGCACGAGCAGTTCGCAGAGTCCCGCGCTTTCTTCAGCGCCCAGGTTAGCCAGATGCGGGGAGCAATTTCTGCCGAAGTGAACGAAGCTGTGTCGCAAAGAACGGCACAGTATAGCGCTTTCGCACAAAGCTTACATGCTGAGACTGTTGTGATGGAGAACTCGGAAAAGGCGGTCGGTGAGCAGAGAGACAGTATTTTGGCGGAGAACCACGCCATGCAGGACACGATCAACGGGCTGAACGACACCGTTGAGCGTCTGAGGAACGATCTCGAAAAGGCGCAGCGTGAAATGGTGCGCGGAGATCCTCAGCCTGCGTCAAGTTTTCAGAACGTCAGTTCGGAGTCGTTTTTGGATAAGAGGGGCAGTATCTTTGATGATCCGCGTCTTTTTCCAACGCAGAATGCACAAACTTCTGGAACTATGCCTCAGATTATTCCACAGCAGAGTTGGACTGATCCTATTTCTGGTGCAATGCAGTTTGATATCAAAGATCATGCGAGACGGTCTTCGGAGCAAGAAAACAGCAGAAGTCAGCAAAATCAGCCGACAAGTCAGCCGAACATTGATCGGTTGACTGGTCCCGAGACCACCGAGGCGGAGTTCCGTGCGGCCCTCCTCGGCTTTGTCCGGAATCAGCATGATCGGCCAAAAGCAAAGGAAGCTGATTCGTTGAGGCTGAGTGAGTTTCCCACTCCTGAGACCTATAGAGCCTGGAAAACGGCTACTCGCGAAGAGATTCGGGCTGCTTCAGATCGGCCTGACGCTGCATTCACCTGGGTTAACAAGGTGTACGTCAACCGGGAGGACAAGAAGAATCTCATGTTAGAGCTTGGAGATCCAGAGCAGTTTGAAACGTTGGATACAAAGCTTCTTGCAGCCTTGTCGCGGATTGCTAGGGGCGACCTTAGTCGGCAGATCCTTACATACAAGGAGCAACAAGCTGCTTTGGACAAAGTTGTCCGTGGACGTCAAGTTCTTCTCATGTTTGAGCAGTATTTCAGGACAAATGAGGAGGCCGGAGCGTTGTATTCCACTGAAGATTTGTTGAAGGTGGTACTTCACGGCCATGATTTGATGACCTTTATTCAGAATTGGGATTCCGTCATTGCTGGCATGAAGATCGTTCCGGAGCAGCACGTCTTGAAGGACATTTTCTTGCGACAGATTCGTGGATGTCACAAGATCAAGTATGACCTCGATACATACGAGCGTGCAAAAGATGGGTCGTATGCAAGAGCTACGAGTTTCTTGTTCAAGCCGTTCGTGATGTTTTGACTCGGGAGCGATTGCAGTCAAATCGTGATCGTGTCGCTCGAGCTCACAATCAGAAGGTCGGTGCTCCAGCTCCCAATGCAAATCCTGGGCGTGCAAGAGATCCTTCAGCGGTCAGGTATTGCTATGATTTTCAGAAAGGCAAGTGCACTCGGGATAATTGCATTTACAAGCATGAGAAAGACCCAAGACCCCCGAGCCAAAATCCGAAAGGAAAAGGTCGGGGGCGCTCTGACAGCCAGGGGAGAGACAGGGATCGGTCGGCATCGAGAAAGAGAGCGGAGCTGAAAAAGATCCCGTGCAGGTTTTTCAAAGGCGGTCAGGGGAAATGCACTCGTGGAGACAACTGTGCGTTTTCGCATGAGACTCGGTCTGCTGCACCAGCAACAGATAAGCCGAGCCCAAAGAAAGGAGCCAGCAGAGGTAGGTCTCCCACCCCAAAGGGAAAAGGGAGAAAGCGATCCCAGAGCAAAAAGGGCGAGTCCTCAGCCGCTGTGTGTCTGAGGGTGAAAGAGACCAATGCATGCCTCGCAGCATGCCGCCCAAAGAAAGATTTCTGGGAAGTTGACTCGGTGAACGAGATGGTCATTCGACACCATGTGATGCCCCGAAAAGCGCTTTATGATCCGAAGAGTGCAAAAGACCTTCCGATTTCGCTGGAACGTTTATTGGATCAGCGCATCACCAAAGCCAACATCAATGGCAAAGAGCAAGTGTTTGGTGATTTCTGGGCGGATCCTGATGAAGGTTTGGAGCAATACTGGACTGGGCAAACAATTTTCATTTGCAGTACAGATGTTTCCAATACCCGCAGATGCGTCAAATTCGCAGACAATGTCGAGATCGTCGAGATCGAGGCCAACGGGCTATGCCTATCATGTGCTCCAAAGCCGAATGACCCTGAGGTTGTGTGGTATGATGGTTGTGCGCCTGGCTCAAATCCCAAGGATCTGATCGATGCTAAAGACAAAGCTTTGATTCTGGAAGGGGTTGTTGACTTGATGCATGCAAACTACAACGCGCCTTGTGGGTTCTATTGCGAATACTATGATGACAATGACCCAATTTATTGCGGTTTGTATTGTCCTGGCTGTTGGATTGATGATGATGAAACGAACCTTGACGATGTGCCGGAGTATATTGCTACGCCAGCACCAGCAGGGCTTCGTCAGTGGATTGTCGACACAGGTAGTGAACAAGATCTGGTTGACTCTGAGCGTGCAGTTACACTTCAAAAGAAGATAAATCCTGCATTGACTCCAATCAATCTTTCAACAGCAAATGGATCAATTTGTGCAGACAAGATTGCGGACTTCTCCATTGATCAGTTGAACGAGGTCGTCACTCCGTATGTTTTGCCGAGCACGCCAGCTGTCCTTTCTGTTGGTCAAAGATGTTTGGAAAAGGGGTACGATTTCGTATGGAGAAAGAACAGTGCTCCGTACTTTGTGCGACCTGACGGAAAAGCGGTAATATTGAAGCTCGATGGGCGAGTTCCGTATGTTGACGATCAGTGCGAGGTCATAGCTTCTGAATCCGCTATGCCTGTTGCGCTTGCTTCATCCTATCAGAAGATCGGGGGCGTTGAAGTGCCTTCATCTTCAAGCGGGGGGCAACCTCCGCCGGATGCCGCATCGTTTCCATTGCGCCCTGATGAAGCTGAACCACTGGAACCGGAGTTTGATCCGGAATTGGAGGACAACCCTGAGGTTGCGGAAGCTCCAAAACCGATGTCAAAGCGTTCAAAAGAAATGATGATGCGTGAGGCCAAAAGTGAAGAGCATCTTTTCACTCACAGGCCCAAGAACCCCTTTTGCGAAACGTGTGTGCGATCAAAGATGCAAGCACCTCAGGCTCGTCGCAGACATGGATCTTCTTCGGTGGATGCAAAAGCATTTGGAGATCATGTGACTGCTGACCACGTCATTTCAAATGATGAGACGTACGGGTTCAAGGGCGAGTGGAATGCTTTGGTCGTGAAAGATGTGTTCACGCAGTTCCGGTATTTTTACCCTTCAGCAAGGCAAGATGCTGACAGTTGCGTTCGTGCATTTCAACATTTCACGAAGCCAGATGATCATGTTGGGATTTTCTATTCTGACAATTCTGGCGAAATTGCAGCTGCAGTAAAGAGTATGGGTTGGAGACACGTGCTGAGCCAGCCATATGTCAGTCAATCTTCCGGGGTGATCGAGCGCGAGATTCGTACAATTCTGGAGGGAGCAAGAGCAAATCTGTTCCAAAGTGGTTTGCCGGTTGAGCTTTGGCCTTTGGCAGCTCAACATCATGCATTTGCTCTCAATGTTACAATTCCAGATGACAAGGACAAGTCTGCGTTTTGGTGATGAGTTTCCTGACGCGAAGATCCCATTCGGTGCAAAATTGTTGTACTGGATCAATCGTCAGCGCGTCGATTCGAAGCAGTCCAAGTTTCTGCCAACTTCGGATGTCGGCATTTTTGTTGGCTATCATGTGCAACCTGGCTTTACCTACACGCATGAAATTTTGGTATTGCCGCTCAAGAATTTGCCGGACAAGTTGCGGACGGGTGACATTAATCCCCTCCGCGTCAAGCAGTATGAGTTCAGTCTGCTTGATGAGACGTTTGTTTTTCCCGCAAAGCAAGCTATTGCCGACGACAAACCG